ACATATTTACAAGAGCAGTTCAAAAGAGAAATAATATGCCAGATTCTTCACTGATGCATTAGCAATTAGTTTTTTTTAACCAAAGTCATGGTCCCACTTCAACATCAAACCTAGGTTACTCCTGCTCTAAGTGCAAAATGAACTCCACCAACAGCTTTGCCTTTGGGTTAACACAATAAAAGTTGTCATGGAAAAGGTGGTTTGTTTTGCAACCCAAATTAGCAATGATCAAAATGTACTCTAAATTGTGATCAATATTGTAATTGGTTGTGAAATGGTCAGAACGATGTCAGAGCACACAGGTATCTAACATGCCCACTGAGGAGTTACCAATAACCATATCTGGTGAAAATATCTGCTGGGAGCTCTCCAATGAAACATCACTTTTACCGTCACTATTTTTTTTTGCCAAGGATCAAATTCCCCAAAATGTCTGGATAACCATCATATTATATTGAATTCCAGGAACGATGTAGCACACTGTGATTTGGGAAAATAATGCAAGTATGCTCACCCAGTGATCTCCTAATCCAAAATACACACCAAGGACATCACCCACAGTAGTTAATTAAAAATCCGTTTCTGTGTAGGAAGAGGAAGCAAGAACCACTTCCTTGCCTTCCATTGCACTGAATCTCAGCTCAGCCAAGATTCTACAGGTTATTAATGGAGCCTCAAAGGGGCATGGAAAAAATCTGCAAAGCCACAGGTGACAAGGAAGTTATCCCATAGTTGTACTTTACTGGAAAAAATTGTGCACCCTTTCATTCTAATTATGATTATTATTATTGTTTCAATCTCAAATGTGCATGTTGTCACAGGTTGTGATGCTAATTTGCATTAAACAAGTGTTGAAACAGTTTAGGGAAATCAGCAGTTTGGTGGGAAAGAGGTTATGAGCTTGAAGTTTGATTTGAAATCCCCATATTTGAAGAAGCCACAATCAATGCGAAACTTTGATTCTCAAAACTTTTGATCTCATTGCTACAGCAATTCTTGGACCAACATCCCAGACATTACTCTATTATTTGCCCCTGCAAACCCCATCTCCTGCTGGGGTTGTTTCAGGTGTTCTTCGGTATCTTGCTATCTCACAGACCAGGGGAATCCTACACATGAAATCGGCAGATGAGCATCAAACAAGGAACCTTAGAGCGCAATGCAAACAACCCTGTCCTCACCTGACATTCATGCACACTCACATTCCAATGAGTACCGGCTGCCAATCAAGAGTGGGAACCCAGGCTAATGTTTTTCATTATAATATCAGGGGTAGCAAGACTAAAAGAGAATCTCCTCTCTGTCCAGCTGAAAACTAGCAATAACAAACTAGGATCTTTCTCACCTGCACAGTTCAGTTCCAAAATGGGCACTGCCTCTCACAATATGGAATATAACTTCTTTGTAGAACATAGTCCCTTTCTAAAATGAATACTTTTCTCTTCAGACAGTTTGCTTATTTATTTTATCATTGTAATTACAGATGGTTAATTTTGCTTCACTCCATGGTTAAATGGGAATGATTTTTTAAAAAAAATCAAGTCTGGCTGCCATCTATTAAATCACCTTTTTTAATATAGAAAAAAAGGGTTTGAAGTGTTTACAAGGGAATTGCAGAGGAGGCATCTTTGTACCAGTAAATGGCAAACGTAAGAGAACAATGTTATACAAATGATAGCATTAATCAAAATCGTAAATGGTAAAGTCAGTAAGAGCAATATTACGCAGATGATAGCAATACTTATTCAGCACTGCTGAAGTTCCAAGATTTGGATTTTAAACTGACAATTACAAACCCAACATCTGAAAAACTATGCAGTTAGAATGTTGAAAATATGCCTCAGTATTAAAACATTAGTTCAATTTCAATTGATAAAGGGCATCATACATTCATTCCGAACTAAAATAACTCAAGTTTATTTTTCAAATTATTTCAGTTAATAATTACTGAATGAGATTTCTTTTTTTCTGTGAACAAAGGATTGACCTTAGCCTACGATAGAACACGTCTCACCATATACTCCTTCACAAAAGTGGATTTCTATAGCTACAATATTTAAACCAGGATGTTTCTAGATACAAAAACAGGAGCATTGAGAAACCCACTTTACGTGAATACATTATTTAAATTCAAACCATATCTTTTGATACGACTGGTAGGCAAGAGTCCAGATCAATGATTTGGCACAGGTGCCACTGGGACGAGATTATCACGGCCAGAAAACCCACTAACGCTGTAGCAGGTCAGTCAAACTATTTTAACCACAATGTCTGGTGCATATTCTAGTCTTTACAATTTTATGCATTATATTCAACTTCAGTCAATGAATGCGTTTCTGATGGAAATTATCAACAATGACATTTGATCTAATCTTCTTACCTCATCGGATGCCTGTTGGTGGATACAGTGTATGTGAAAAAATAGGTGAAAAAATAAGGAACGTTCCATTTTTGATCTATTGCCTGTACTTGGCTGATTTCAACAAATGGCTGAGCAGAAAAGAATCAGGATTCCTGCTCTGAATCATTGTCCTGTGATTCCCCTGTATATGAAAAAGATTGGACTTGGCTTTAAAATAGCCAATCATCAGCATGGCCTAGCTTCAGATTTGAAGGAAAGTTTTTTAGGTGACGTACCAGAGGACCACATATCAATGGAACAGTGTAGAGAAGGAAATGTTCCTTAAACTATTCATCTAAATAGAATCAATGATGACAAAACAAGTTTCAACTTGTCAAATATATAACCTTGATTATTATTCAAGACAATTCCACAACTTCGCCAAATGCAAGTCTAGTGTGACAAATTAAGCAGGATACATTTATGAGGATTCAGTTGCAATTACTGAGTGTCAGTCACCAAATTATTGCCATCTACTGACGTATACTTTTGTTGGATTCAGGTGGACCGGTTACTCACCAGATCATATTCATCGACGTTAAAACTCATCAAACTGTGCACGTAACATTGTCTTACGAATCCTGTGTGCTAAATATTAAAAGCTGCCTGGGCAATCATTGAAATCCACAGCAAAACAGCAAAATCTACCCATTGTAAAGGTTTACTTACAAGCAATGCACTCAAAATTAACTCAAAGGCTGACGATGCTTTATGTGTCAGAAACCCTTGAAACAAACCTGGACAAAAATATCTACGAGAGAAGAAAATTGGCTGCTGTAATTGTTATCCATTACTACTGTATTTTTAATAATTAATCTGAATATGCAGAGTACAATAAGGTGAGTGGAAATAATTGTGAATGAGGCATGTTGGAGAATTTGAGCTTGTTTAGAAAGTTTACCAATTAAACACAATATACTGAATTACCACATTTAATCTGCAACAGAAATCCATTCCCTGTACAGTACAGATGCCCAAAGCGTCTGATCCGCTTTGAGTGTTAATGTTATACACTTGAAACCAGTCATTTCTTCTCCTAAATATTAAAAAAGATTCAGAAGCTTGAAATCTAAATTATTAAAATGGTCCAAATATGATGCAACGCATGAAAAATTATATTGAGAAATAACCTGGAACCAGTCTTGCGTTCTTGATCATAATTTTTTCGTCTCCACATATATAAATAAGCAGTCTGAAACATCTCCTCACCTCAAGAGGTGGAAGGCTTTCGATTAATGCTTGAAAAATCCATTCTCTGGATATTTACCAGTTATGAAACTATGTTGCCGCCTCTTAAGTTCATATCATCTGAAAAGTAACATTCCCTATCTTTCCCAGCTGTTGAAACAAACTATGTTCCCAATAATGTCTTTAGTTTTACTAATCATCAAAAAACAATGTAGATTAGAGGCAAATTTGCTAAGAAAACTGATGAACAAAATTCATTCCGAAAAATTATATATCCTCAACAACATTCGCCATTTCTACCTCACAACAACCTGTGAGGTAGGAAAAAANTTAATCCAATAATTGCTTGTGGACACAAATTTAAAAGAAAATGTTTTCAGTGATATGAAAAGGTCTGTTCATTTGTTAAGTTGAATATCGACAAGTAAATTTCACTCCTAAACATTTATTTAGCCTATAATTTCCTATAATGTTGAATATATTTAGATATTAAAAAATATTTTTTCCCCCTCAAAATAATTCCTAAACTGATTTACACACTATGTCATTTATCAAATGTCAATGTCAATTTGCATAATTTAGGAAATACTTACCTATGACAAAAAACAAAAATTCTTATCAGCACAGGTACCAAACCGACATACGTGTCTTTCAATTCCTACAAGCTTTCTACACTATCTGCTCAGAAAATATCTCATTTTGTTTATTTGCACCGTCAACCACATTTCAATTAATATTTTCAGAAAGAAAATAGAGGTCATGAACAAAACCAATTTAGTGTTACTGCACATTAAGCCATGTACTTCATTCACAAGGTTTATTCTAATGTACTTACAGTGCAATGCTCCTTGAAGGAACACAATCAAGGGTTGTGCACAGCATACGCCAGGTTACCCTTACAGAGCTACCTCTACAATGGCTGGAACACCTGTACTTCAATAAATACAACAGCAAGACAGACTGCAATTGCATTCATCTTCTGCATAGTTAAAAATTGATAAACTACAGAATATTTAAATGCAAACAAGGCAAAAAAAAGAAAAAAACACTAATTTGCACAGAACAATTGAAAACTTTCAATAGTTGGGATAAAATTGTGCAGTAGCAGGTCAAAGAACTTTGAAATTATAAATGGCAATTTCCAACTACATAACGTGCAAAATAGTTCATCTAAAGCAATTCATATTGCATCAGAAATACAATCCAATTTTCAGTTTAAGGAATTGAGACATTGATGAATGCTGTGACTGATACCTTACCATCAGCTTTCCTAAACTTCTGGTAGAAAAGAAAAAGTTATGGGGCACTATTTTACATGGCAAGAAATGCAGATCATACGAACAAACTAAAAAGCACTCCCTGAACAGTTGGCCTTAAAGACACAATTAGTATGAAACACCAAAGCTACAGATGCCGTTGACAGATTTAATAGCACGACTATAAATTCACCATTGTACATTCTGCTATGAAAAGATTATGCAAGAGATGCACTGTCCCAAATTCATTACATCTGCATCACAACTGATAAACTAAACTGATAATATGGCTTTTTAAGAAACAGATTGAACCTATTGGACTACAATAGCTATTCTGTTCTGCAAGAATCAAAATTATCCACATTTCAAATCTAAGCTCGACGAAGCAAGAATTCAGAAGACAGTGAATGTGTAAGAATATATCAAGTTACAGTTCAATACGCGGAACACATCTGTGGTGACATAATTACCCATAGATCCAACTTACCCACAACAAAGGTTTTCATATGATTTATTGTCAAGCACAAAACAAGTGTTTAAAAGTGAACAGGTATACATTGAAAATTAGTACATTTTACAACAGAAGCACATGTCACTTTAATGACTGAATAGAAATTGAAAATACATATGCTGGAATGTTCAAACTATTGTGATTCACTAAAAGCAAACCAATTTGCATTTCTACACAAAATGATGGTTATCACATTTTCAACCTCTCGGGTATGACAAATAGAAACACTATTTTTGAAACCAAACAAAATTAAGATCTTCAGCAAGGCGTCTGCATCCATACATTTTACAAAGGCTTTTCCCCACACTGTTGTAATTATCTCCACTTCACATTACTGGCCCTGTGCAGAAGAAATACATAAGAAATACACAAGTGGTTACAAACATGAAACATTTGAAGGACACTGCGTGTGGACAGGATCCTTAATCTGTGAAAGGAAAAGTTAAAACAAATGCTGGTCAGGTGGTTTCAATAGCCTGGTTGGGGGGAAATTTTCAGTGATGAACAGGCATTCAAAACAAATTTCTGTACAAAATCTATCAAATTCATTTCTCAAATGTTTACATTCTGAACAGAAAGTACTTTTTGAACATAATACTATTTCAGCACCATTTGAGTAACTGAACTATTAAGCCTCACAGAAGTTATCTATTTGGGTATATTGAAGTTTTATGAATGAAGATATGCTGTATAACATATAGAGGAAAGAAAAAACAGAACCCAATTTTTTTCTATTATGCCCATTTACATTTACTGACATTTACCTGTGGAGGTTGCTGTGCTGGAGGGTGCTGGGGCATTCCTTGCGAGTTTGTCTGACTGTAGTACGCAGCTTGCTGCCTGTAGTATTCAGCCCACGCAGCACTGTAGTCTGGCTGACCACCTGGTGGAGGTGCTGCACCAGAAGCCTGAGCTGCCTGACCTGAAACAGACAGGAACCGCAACAGTAAACATCATACTTTCAGACAATGCACTAATTTATTTTAACTTCCTGAAATTATAAAGAATGATATACTTTGCTTTTTGTAGTATTCCTCCCAGGCCTTTGTGTAATCCTGTTGGGCTCCTTGTGGTTGTTGTCCCTGTTGACCTACATAGAATGGGGACAGAATTTTAAACTGCTCTCCATACAAAGTGTAGAATTCCATCTAATCTTTGATACCATGCATCAGCAATCAGCGTTTAAAGTCTTCCTATTCTGTGCCACAATTCTGGTGCAGGTAATTATAATCAGCATTTGAATTTCTGCATACCTGGCACAGAATTCCAAACAGCTGGTTGATTGGGTAGGACGTTGAGGAGAGATGTTCAACTTTTTTGTGTCTTAAACTTAGATTAGCTGACTGGGATGCACACTTCAAAACAAGGTTAATCTTGAATTAAACTTGAATGACCTTTTAGCAAGTATCCAGAAGCACATGACTGTCCTCAATGTTTATGTTGGATGAAAATTCACCAGTAATACAGGAGGCCATTTCAACACAGGCATGCCAAACTATCACTTTCTCAAAGTAGTACGAATAGGCAGAACAATGATATGCCGCACCCAGTAAATTAGATAAACCAACAGCAGTAGAAAGGATGTGGTAAAGATGCAAGTAGTTTCGAGCATCTCCTTCCATGAAGGTTCAACCATCAACCTTTACAATTGTGATAGGAGAATTTTAATAAGGGAACCAAAAAATGGTACCTAGTTTCTTGTAATATTCTTCCCAGGCCTTGGTATAATCAGTTTGAGGATTCTGGGCTGGATTTGGTTGATTTGGATCACCTGTTGATAAAGAAAACAATACACATATTTATAAAATTAACATTAGGCTTTTTAGGTCAACTTTCAGAAGGTATAGGGGGAAAGAAAGGTGGAGATGGTTTGTAATCGCAGGAAAACTCAAAGGCTGCTAGACTAAATTGAGCTTTTCTAACCACCTCGTTTATCAAAAATTTTCAGGCATAAATGTTACAGGGGAAAAATGAACAGTTTAACTGCTCTATAAAAAAAATTCAGCCCGTACGATTTTTGGGATAAGTGCAAGTTTAGTGCTGAGGTTTAAAAAACCTGCAGCAATTAATTTTCTCTTGGTGTAGCCAGAAGATCTGATAAAAAAAATACACAATGATTTACCCTGTCCAGAATTTGGGGTATTGCCCTGACCAGTACTTGAAGCTGCAGGTGGCTGCTGTGCTTGTTGCTGATAATACTGAGCGTAATACGCTGCCCATGCAGCCGTATTTGCATCTCCAGCTTTATCTACAATAGATTAAAAATATAGTTTATTACTCCCAGCGTCCAAACACTGTAGATAAAAATGTACAGTATTATAGCAAATTCAGTATATTTATTTACAGTTCCAATGCAAAGAATTAGTAAGTGAATTGTCTCTTACTTGGATCTGGTTGGCCCTGTTGCTGCCAGGGTTGATAGGTATTTCCCCATCCTTGTGGAGCGTACTGGGCTGGAGGACCACTGTAAGAAGTGAAGAAATTTAGTAATGGCAACACACCACATTTTATATCAAATTCATGGAATTGTGGTTTGATTAGATTACTTACTGTTGAGGAGGGCCAGGCGGGCCAGGATTATAGGGCCCGGGATTATAGGGACCCATAGGATTTCCTGGGCCTGGAGGACCTGGAGGGCCAGGAGGACCGTGTGGACCAGGAGGACCGTGGGGTCCATGTGGCCCATGGGGACCAGGTGGCCCCGGAGGGCCTGTAGGAGCCTAAACACACAAACATAGGAATCATAGTTAATCACTGCACACAAGAAGGCCTCAAAAGAAATTCAGCAACAAAAAAACTTACTTAATTGTACGGTTACTTTTGATTTAGAATTTAGCTAACAGGTTTTACTTTGGGTGACTTCAGTACCATGAACTCCACCCAATTCTTCCATACCAAAAAAAATCATAATCCAGGATTGCCTTAGAGTCTACCATAGCGTCTCAAGAGAAACCTCTAGCTTCACAACTAATACTTCAATTGTTAGAACCTTAACAACAGAGATGTTTAGCAGCCATTATCTTGCAAAAATACATAGCCTGCAGATTTCCCTTCTTCCTGCAAAATTATTAAATTACTGGCAAAATAGCAGTCTGGAATGAAATCAACAACTAATCTAAACTTCTAGTTCCATGACAACTTTGCAGGCAAGTATATTCCTTTGTGAGGGTGGGGGGGAAATTAATCACTCCCAGACTACCAAACCAATACCTTTAAAGCATAAACCTATAAATGGCTAGCTTGTGGATTTTCCTTCACATATTTCCTCCCCTCCCAACTCAAGCAAGCTTGAAACCATGTCATCTATTTATTTAGTAAGCTAAGACCAAGTTCATAATCAGAGAATATCAATTGATTCAATTTAAAAAATATTACCTGCAAATTTATAAATCATTTGGATTATAGCACAAAGAGCTTACCCCAATCTTTTCTTCAATAAGTTGCCTAGCAAAGTCAATCTGTTGAGCTGATCCTCGAATAATGAACATTTTGAAGTTTGGATCAGCATTTGGCGGAGGATTTCGCTGAAGTTCTATCCGTGCACCTGACTGCTGGCTAATTGCTTTAACGGTATCGCCACCTAAAGCAGAACATTCAAAAAAGGTTTATCAGGACACAATACTCTGCATACAATACTATATTGAAAACAAAGTATTAACCATTAAAGATATTAAATTATATCACATTCTTATAGTACTGCTTAGAATCAAATAATTTTCCAATTTAAAACTGAGGCAGCATTGTGGACTCTAAATGGAAGTAAAAGTACAGGAATATGTACACATTGAAGCCTGCTCATAACATGCCACGGAATCACTTTCCAGTGAACTTTCAATGAGCTCTCTATTCGCCACACCAACTATCATGGCTTCACTCAAATAGATTCACAATTCAAAGCCAATCGTTGCTAAATAAGGCACAGTTGCACTATGGCATCACGACCACTAGGATCCCAATGAGGAATGTGCAAGCTAATTTCACAAAGGCCATCTGTCAGCTTCACAAAACAGATCAACTTTTATATCGGTATTTTAATGCATCAGTATTCATTTTACAAATGCATACAACAAGTTGAGATATAAAAAAAATCTTAAGTAAAAACTTCATATCGTATCATACCTTTGCCAATAATTATGCCCGTCTTGCTGCTGGGTACTGTGAAACTGAACTCCTGGAGTCCACCAGGGGGACCCATATTCCAGTTGGTTTGTCCTCTGCCTCTTCCTCTGCCAGGTCCAGGGCCGCCGGGGCCAGGAGGCATGCCCGCCTAAGCAAGATTAAAATCTTTCTGAAATGGCTTTTACCCACTTGTCGAATGCCTCTGAAGCTTAAGCGTTATAAATACATTTCTGAGCTATATTTAGCATAAATCATGATATAATCAAACAACTTAAACCTTAAGATAATCTAGTTATTAGGCAATAGAGAAGTACTATGCATAGTCAGTGAATAATTATAACCTCAACACTTCGCAGGAGGTCTGTAAGTATTTCTGCAGCATGCTGACATCTGTCTGGAGGACCAATGATCTGAGCTATTCTTTCTGGAGTTGTCCCATCATCTAGAACACAAAACACCTTTTTAAATTGATATACATTTATATTCAACAGAATCAAGCAGAAGAATCAAGCAGAAGAGTAAGCTTTAGTTACACAATAGCATAATAGATTAATTTTTCTTTTTAAAACTTTACCTGGTTTGAACTGAATCCGCACACCAGCGTCATTCTGAATCTTCTTAATCATTTCTCCATTCCTTCCTATTACAATGCCAACAGCAAATCGTGGTACAGGCACCTAAGAGAAAACTTAATTAATACACACTACAAGACATCCTGTAGGCAAAACAGACAATGGTGACGAACACACTTACCTAAGGATGCCTGTAAAACAATTGAGCTGTTGAACATTCGTCAACGGAGAAAAATGTAAGTGATTCCAAATGTATTAACACGATAATTTTTTAGCTCAATACTATTATGACATGCTGCAATCCTGAACATTGTGTCTATGTGTTTTTAATCAACTTGACTAGTTTATCTATATACTTACATCTAAGCCTTCATTACTTCCTCCCAATCTGGATCCATATTCATTACGCGTTTCTCTAAATCCACCTTGGTCTCGATCTCGGATTAGATCCATCACCATTTCCTTGGCTTGCTGAAACATTGAACAAAAATATAAAATAAAATATCCACACTGTTAAGACACCATGACAGCAGCATTACTTTAAATATGAAAGGAATACTGCGCCGTACCTGTACTTTGTATGGGTCCCCTGTTATTCGGAGAGGTTTGTCAGTCCCAGTCGGCTGAGGGCCATCTTGGATCATTACCATCTTGACTCCAGCACGCTCCTATTTTGCAACAAAACAACTCCATGTACCCACCTCAACAAGTACCACCAGACCCAAGCACCTTATTGAGCAAAACAACCATCAGTAAATAGAAAGTCTTACCTGTAAATGTTTAATTGTTTCTCCACCTTTTCCAATTACAAGCCCGGCCTTGGTTGCAGGAATCATTATTTCCTGAACAGCAGTACCTGGTCCATCCCCATGGTGTGAACCAGGTCCAATCCGACCTCTTTCAACTATTTGATCAAGTAGTCTCTTTGCAGCTCTGTAATATTAATTGGCTAAGCTTTTAAATGCTACTTTGATTTCACAAAAAAAACTTCACACTATACGACACTCACAAACCCTTCATTCCAGATTGATAAATCACTCATATAGTCAAACCTTATTTAACTTTAAATTGTGCTAGTTTTTCACATATTTAAGTCACGTAACTAACTGAATATCTTGAAATACTTACTGAATTGAATCAGGACTTCCTGTTAACATGCAGGATCTTTCTGGTAGGCCACCACTGTCTAAAAATAAAACTCAAGTTTATACCCATGAACACAGTCAAATACTTAAAGATGAATAAATTAATTGTGCTTTATAAATCTAATCAGAGATGAATCTTATCCTTAGTTCAAATGAATATTGCTCTGCAAAGGTTTTACTAAATAAACAGAGCTCTAAATTTGATCTGCCAATGTGCATCATTGATATTCACTGTCAATGTTGCCGCCAGGGTCCCTTTTATCACACAGCATCTCAAAATACAATGCACACATCTCTCAGCTGTACAGTTTATTTGAATATGGCTATAGAAGGGGAGGGGGAAAAACATCATTCAGTATTTGTTAGCGTTGCTTCCCCAGCCTGCTGCAATTACAAACTACATTTAAAACCAGTGTGTTTCAAAGCTTAGCACAGAAAATAAATTAAACGTTGCACTAACAATACACTAATACCTACCTGGTGCAATCTGTACTTTGCAACCAGATTCTTGCTGTATACGGGAGATCTGTTCCCCACCTCTACCAATTACTGAAAAAAACATAACTGAATTATATCAAGAAACAGATGATTTCAGTGCTACATTCCTAGGTTCAGAATGCTTCAGCTACCTAAAGTTTAATTCACTAATCTGACAAACTACATACATTAAAATGTTATCCTTCAAAGAGTTGGAAATATTACTTGGCATTCAAACATACCATGCACTTTTCCCAGCCTATTACAAACATACCAAACTAAATATTACAAATGTTTGGTTGAAAGCACATATGGTTAACAATCTAAAGGTTAATATTGGGATGAGCTCTAAAATTCAAGGGAGTTTTTACAATTCAGAGAACTGAAGAGAACAATTTTTAAAAAATATAACGGGGGAGGCATGAGGTGGAGAGTAAAAAAAGGAAAAGAACATTTCACTAGTCCTCTATATAGTTGAGTGAAACTGAATTTCTCCTAAGAAGCATTTCAATTATTTCAGGTGCCATCTCAGTATGCAGACCCATACAGAGCGATCCTGTGAAAACACGTTGCTCAGATCAAAAAAATTAAGACACCATGTTAGAACAGGTCTGTAAAACAATAATCACCTGCCCTACTTCCAGGCTGTAAGGTCACCATTGATGTCACTTACACTGGATTGATCCCAGCAGATTGTCAGGAAGCAGTGGTCTGCGCTGGAAACGTACCACTTCTAGTACTTATGGGTTCACAGGAGTCCCACACTCAAAGTGAACTTGCACTCTTGGGAGACACTATATGACAGGGTATGCCTTGTATATTCAAAAACATAATCCTCACTCATAGTTGCAAAGGGGAAAGATGTGCCTAGAAATGTATCAGACATTAGACAGCTAAGGCTTTAAGCTACCTTTTTAAGATGCAAACCATAAAACAAAGATGCTACTTACAAACAGTTCATAATTTTAGGCGCACATTATTTGATTCATGTTTGCTGGAAAATATGTTGTGTGTATTTTACTTACTAAATCCAACCATGCTGTCAGGAACTTTGTACTCCTCCGTTGCAATCGACCTAAATAAAAAGATTCACGAGTTAGCAAACATTATCACCACAATCTGAACTATTTAATACTCATATACTGGATCATTACCAGATTGCTTCAAGGAGGAATTCGGAAAGTTGCATTTTGCTATGCCCTAACAGCAGCTGTTTCCCAGCAGAGCACACATCCATTGATACTCAAGTTGCAAAAGCTTCAATTAATTACCTTTGTTTACATGCATTGGTGTTGCACAATATTTCAGGAATAATTATTGCATACTTCTTACAACTTTTGGGTATTACAAAAATAGACAAAACCCAACCTTATATTTTGAGTTTAAAATGCCAAGTCTAATTTATTAGTGCAGTATATAGAACATTATCCAATACACAATTTCAAGCAACACAAACATACACTGCAAGAAATTAAAATAATGTATAAATTATAAAGCAGAGCATTCCCAGCCAATAAAACCTGCCACAAAAAACAATCTTGCCATTTCTTCATTAAATTGTTCCTTCTAATTTACTCTAGAAGTTAAGACATTTTTCTTACCTTTGTTGATGCATTGCAGCTAATTGTGCTCCAAATGCTAAAAGAAAATAAAGAAAAAAATATCAATCTTCAAAAAGGAACTGGTATTTGAATAACTGCATAACCTACTAAATTCATTTATTTGAAGATGTATAGAAGATATAGATGCAAGACATGCCCCCCAGAGCAAAATGGTTAATTAATTTGATGAAAGTTCAAATGTAAAAGTACAAGCCAGTGTATGGAAACGTTTCATAATGTAGTTTTACCACATCTGCAGGTTTGATTATAACATTCTACTTCAAAATACATCATGGCCATTTACAAATAAATGACATCATTGTTTCCTTTTGCCTCAGCATTTTTTCAATATTATATGGGATTTGAGGAACAGTAGAAGTGCTGATTTATTTCATAACAGTGAAGAATTATGAAGGGGTTTATTAGTCATAATTTTGTAATACATTTTGACATACTTATTCCATTTCAGTGTTGAACACATTTTTTGCGTTCATTAAAGTTTACCCTCCCCTAAGCAATCCTTGACTTATGGGTTTATGAGAGTTTACCTTCCCAGTAAAATGTACCTTTACAATTATTTCAGGTAAACTTTGGCAATTTATGGATCTCGAAAGTAAATATGAAAAGTGGACAAATATAACAACTTGCTTTTGTGTTGCACCCTTCATGCAAGGTGTCAAACACACTTCCCTTTCGTGCTCATGAAAGTTTACCCTCCCCCTAAGCAAGGAGCACTTGGTGTGTAACCTTATATACAACGGAGAGATAGTGTTAAAATGGTGCATTTATGCCTTAATTTGTTTTACTTGGAAGAAAATTCTCCTCGTCATCATCAAGAGGAAGACATCCCACATCAGAGTTAGTGAAAGATTTTTGGGGAGACAAGATTGTTTAAACCTGAACTTCTTACTTAAAAAACAAATCATTACTTACGATCATTCTGGGCAACTTTCTTGGTATCTGGTTGATCTGCAAAATAAAGCATTTTTCTATAAAACAACTCCATTATATCAAAGGAAAAAGGATTTGGTAACAGATTAGATCTTCAACTTCAAATACTACAAACAATGCATTGGGAATTAGAAAAAACAAGTTTTATCAAAATGGGTTAAATTGTATTTTTAATAGCCTTTAACCTTTCAATATCACACAATAGCAGAACTGCCTCATTCTAAAATTTCCTGTAAAAGTCAGGAGAAATGTTGCAGGATGGCAAAGGAATATCAACTAAGTATGCGGTTGTAAGAGCTCAATATTTCAGAATACAAACTGAATTGAATGCATGTTAAAAATGTTGGAAGTGCACACAATGCTAAAATTGGAACATTTTAAAGTATGTTCAAATCTTGATTAAATGCCAAATTGCAAACAGCCAATTGTTTATATCGGTTGAAAAGTGTCCCTCCTAACCTGAAGTGTTTAATCATCCTTGGTATTCAAAGCAAAAGTTGAAGCAATCACAAAATACTTGCCTAAATTTCAAGTCACCAAGTGAATTCTAGTGAAGCCTGCACCACCCCCAAAAGTGCTAGACGTGCAGTTTACAATTGTAGGCCCACACAACAAAACTCAAATCCACTCCACCCGAGCAAGCCTTACTCAAAGTATTTCAATTCTGCTTAAATGGGATAATGAAAGCTGGTTGTGGCAACTATCAATTTACTTCCATCATTTAACAATTTCATATATTATCTGGGGTAAGCAGCAACATTTGCTACAAAACAGAAATTGTTTTAGTAGATTAGTAATATAGTATTAAATTGCAAGCTTTAAACTTGACATTGTAAATCTGAGTCCAAATTGAAGACTCCCACCTGCAACACAAGAAAGAGCAGAAAAGAAGGGGTCCTGCTCAGGAAAAAGACCAACGTTCGTTCCGCCTGTAATGTTGCATGCAAAAAGCTACTCTTTCCATCAGATTAAAACCAATTGTCCTTTCAACATCCAAATAGTGTCTCTGGGACAAAGCAAATGAAAGCGAGGAAAATGAAGGAAAAGGTGATCGCAAGTGACATTTTCCACTAAGCTTGCTGCTGTACAAAAAGAGGATTCAAAACTGAAAATGAAGTTGGTTATTTTCAATTTATAGAATTGCAGGATCCCTCATCAGGAAATACATGTTGCATCAATGGTTTCATGGTCATAAAGTAAATGGTACAACTAGATAAGATGGTGACTATGTGGTTTAGCTGCCATGGATCAAAAAATTCCACCATTTTACATTGCATCATTTAAGTCTACTCTAGATACACGTTTAACTACTACACACAGGGAAAAAATAAAAGTTCCTGCCTTTGAAAGGAGAGGGCATTCCCTCCCAGTGTGCTCTATTGTTCAGACTTGTCCGACAGTCATCTACACGTAAAATAAAAAAAATTACAAAGATCAGCTGAAGCATCATTAATTCATACTTCAGTGCAAAAGTGTAAGCAGTTCTCATCATTAAAACTGCATTTTTCGGCGACAATTATTGTATTTAGCACCAGAGCCAATTAACTTTTGCATTTCACCATACTTAACCTTGACCTGACATGTACAAAAAAGCCTCTTTTACCAAGACTGTACAAGGGACACATCAAAAAAATCTAGTTTGAAGACTTTTGCAGCATCATATCAACAATACTAATTTTTCTACAGCCTTCTACAGTTTAACAGTTGCAAAAAACTTCCAAAAAACTCATTTTTCCAAGGGTTTTATTATTGTCCAAAATAAAAAGCTGGAAACATCAGCAGGGCTTGTGACAAATATGTGGAAAATGCATAATGGTGCATTTCCTGAAGTCTTGGGGTAAATATGTCGAACATGAACAGCCAGCTATTTGTGTAAGTAGTGAGATTCTTATTCCAATAAACACTGTAACCTAAAGACAAAAATATACAAACACTAATTCAACCTTCCTGAACAAAACAGCTCGAAACCGAGATTCTGCCATAATATGAGCTAAACTATAATTAACACTTCACATCCATATCTTACAGGATAAATGAGTTACACAGATACCCTATGAACTATTTCCTCATATCTGCTGTGGAAAATTATTGCCTCCATCTTTACAGCTCCTGAGCTGTTATACAGAAGCAAGATATGTGACTTTCCCAAAAGAACCATAATACAATACCAGATTAAAAGTACCAATTCAAGTTTCATGGATGATAAAATAACTTCTAAGTACAAGGACTCACCTCCATCTTCCAGCGGTCTCTTCTGTCCACCAAATCCAAAGTCAGGTGGATTTACTGACGTCCCTGCATCTCCACCGATTTTTGCTGCAATCTGCAGGCAGACAAAACAAATATGATAAGCATCAACTATTGTGGAAAATTTAGGCTTATATCAATGTCATGTTCTGCTGCATGGGATGTAACATTTAGTTTTCCTTCTACACTTTTATAGACTAGTGTAAAAGATCCCATGCATACAAAACAACAAAGCTATAAATGAATGATGGGAAACCGCAAAAGCAGAACTACAAATCCCCTTGGGTTGGCCACTCAAATCATAAACAGGTTTCACAAACCAAATACGCTTTTAAACCATCCTAGTTCGTGGGAGAAGATCCAGTGAATTAACAACTAGCGCTTCTCATGTGCTGGCCAAAAATTCTCCAAGCTAAATCGGAAAAATCATAATTTAATTTAGAAACAAGTCCAGAAACTTGAAGAACACATGCAAAAAAATAAATTAATTTCAATATATCAGGCATATAATGTGGTCAAGTCAAAGAGAGTGACAAGCCGATGATGGTTCTATGGTTGTGCTGATTTAATTCAGCAATTCAATTTGAAAATTATTTTGCTGCATTCGGAGCATTAAGATTAATACAACAGTATTAATACCATTACTCAAATATCTAGAATTGGATTTTAGAAATTCCATTCATGCTACCTCTCCTATAAATTAGTTAATAAAGCCACTGCCTATTGTAGAACTGAGCCCATTGCAAATCAGTAAGATCCTTAGTCAACTGTAAATTAGCAGTCCGTGTTCTATTTTTGGTCTCTGTGCTTTGGTTTAGAAATCCAAGGTTCTAGCTACAAATTGCTATCTGTCGCCCTTCTAGAAAATGTGTATTAGGTCAGAAGTAAGCTTGCTCTGATGTGTCCCATGGGGTCAATACTTGCTTACAAATTCACATGACGAATGGCTGCTTGGGTAAGGTGCAAGAGAGCAGCTGGAGCCTGCGGATATCTTGATCAACACAAATCAGCAATGCCAAGAAATCAGGAAGAACATTAAAAGGGGAGAAAAGAAAACTTGAACTGTGAAAGAATAAATTCAGCAATTCAGCACAAGAGGTGCAATAATTTGTTGCCCTGTTTAAAATAAGGAAACATACAAAACATGTTTTTACTTCCAGATCACGGGGTACAATTACTCTTGAGATAATGAGCTTCAAGAAGTTGTTACAAGAGCCCTTCAAACAGGATACCCTCATTTGGGTAGACAATTAAGTTCGAAGATTAAACTTCTATCTGGTGAAAAGGCAACATTTGATATAATCAGATTCGATTTGCCATTATGAGTTTTTTTTAAAATCAGTTATAGGATTTTCCTCCTCTAATGATGTACTTTGACAATTGGAGATTTACTTTTTAACTGCAATGTGAGTGTAATTAGACAAAGCAAAGAAAAAAAATGTTGAACCAAATCAGTTTGTCTCAGTTAATAGCAATAATACTCCTCAGTCAGAAGGTTGAATGTTGAAGCCTTGCTTGAACTTGAGAAGATGAGCCTGAATCTCCAGTGCAGTAATTGAGGAGCACTATATTGACAAAAGTGCCAAGCTTTAGATGAAATGTCAAACCAAAACCATTTACTTTTTCACATTGCCATTAAATATTCCAGGATACAATTCAATAAGAAAAGGGAATTTTTCCTGTGTTCCAGCCAACAATCTTTCAGGTAAATGAATTGTTATGGCTGACCTTGGTGTGTGCACAATGGCTATTGCAAATGCATACTTCGACAGAAAGTACATATAAAGCACTGTGCAATTTGATGTTAGAGGTGCTATATAAATTGTTTACTATCAGTTGGAAAACAATTCCATGTACAAGTCTCCTCTATTGAACCGTATATACAAACTAAAGTGGGTCTTCTTTAATTGCAATATTTTACTTCACTAGTAAAGGTTGATCTTGCAAATTCACAGCGGGAGAGATGTAGTAAAATTATTAAGTGCCTCTAGCTGCAGGCGATTTGACCATGCATTGCTAAGACAAAACGTTATACTGGTTACCTGAAATATTAACTTGAAATTTACTTTTATAAATCACATGTTTAAAATCAAGCTTTAATCACTGCAAAACGTTGGGAAATGTGCTTGTTCTATGCACTGTGGTTTTACGATAAACTAACAGAAGACTTATGTAGACAAAAAACATTTAAGACAAAATGTTAAAATGGCTACCAAGTTTGCTCCTCAAAGAGCAGCTTCAATTACCCTGAGGAGCTCAATCATAGCCTGCTCCAGATTGCAAGAGAATCAAAGATGTTATGGTTACTGTGCAGCTGAACAGGACAAAGCACTGTTAATGTCATCATATTTGACAATTAACACTAATCCACCTATAAGAGCATTGGTGTGCGAGATCCAGCACATCTCTTTTTTCTCCTCCCCTACTGCATAATCTTTAGATGTGATATTCATTTCACCGACCTATAAAAAAAATGAAACACTGCACTGCATTAGGATTAGAATGCAAAAGCTTTGGATTCCAAATGTGAAGCTCAAATGAGTGTTACCCACGATTCTGTTGGACAGTTAAAAAATAGCAATTTTATATGTACTGCTGTCAACTACTGCTCACAGGTCACCAAAATGAAATATGTGAAATTTAATGCAAAATGTAGACATTGACAGAGTTCTTGCATGTTTGCAAACAATAATCCTTGAATTTGATACTCTGACTTTCAAATTGGGAGGACGTCTCAAAGCACTTTACAGAATTTACTGTATATATAAATAAATAATCCTTGCATTTGGTATAGAGGCTTATCACATCAAGACATCCCAAAGCACTTCACAGGATATACAATTCTACAAAGTGTTTGAGAAGCAGCAATGTACCACAAACACGCATAAAATGAGTGACCAATCTTATTAATATTTGGACACCATGATAAACTCTTCCATTTTCTAATACTGAAATGGGACCTTTAGAGGCAGAAAGGACCTCAGTTTAATATCTCATCCAAAGGACGGAACCTCCAACAATGTAACCCCCCCAGCAATCGACTGGAGTGTCAGCCTAAACTTGTAAATTCAAAGTTCCGAGGTGGGCTTGAACCCACAGCCATCTGATTCAGAGGCAAAAGTGCTACCAATTGAGCCATGCAGACCCATAAATTTTGCAAAGTAAACTGAATCAGCACAAATGGTACCGGAGCTATTTGCCACCATGTTCTACAGTGCATGAAGATAACGGCCTGTGCAAACACTTGAATGTGATGAAATCACGCACTGCCAGTCATGCCCGTCATTTTACCCTATTTAACCTACCCAAGAGGGTGGCACAAAAGTAAGGCACTGTTTGGTTTAGTTTAACACCCTAAGTGATACATAAATTTCATTTTGCAATCAGGTGTCTTTGTTTTATGTCCCCTGCCTTTAGAGGCACCAGCTAAGTCCTGCATGTCATGTTATGGGCCCAAATATGACAACGTTATAAGATGTGCAATAACAGAGCATTTATTTCTTCACTTCCCAGCACAGCATAAACTATTAGTCGGGAGCAAAATAGGGCATTCAATGCTATGAACGATCAATCAAGACCCTGGAATTCAGGCTCTCCTCTCTTTGTAGCTAAGTTTCAACAAAATTTGGCAGAAAGGTAAAAAAAAATCTTTAATTTTAGGAGAGTAAATCCAAATAAAAGTTAAAAGAGTGGCCAGCTCAAGTATGCTCATAAAAGCTACCCAATGCTACAAAATGCTTCCCAACTCGACTATTTTGATAAAAGCGATCTTAAGCGAAGGTCTCATTTTAACTCAAAACAGTACGATCTCACACAAAAAAAAAACATTTTATGAAAAGCTACAAATAATCCCACAGCTCCTGAACTTTGAGCCCCATCCCACCCCCAACACACATGCTGACAATTAAGATGGAGTTGCGGGAACAGACTAAGATGGTGTCGTGCTGCACTTTGAAAGTGCAACAAAAGAAATGGGGGGGGGGGGGATATGCATAATCTCCATATTAGAAACGAGTGGGGAGGAGGTGGGGGGGGAGAGAGTGAGAGAGTGGGGGGGGAACTTTTTCTGAAATGGTAAGTCAGACGCTCCTGAGCTGCTAACAAAAATTTTTAAAAGGGAAATCTCACAACCCAACCCCCTCTGGACTCCGGCGGTGGCCCTTGTGGCTGGGAATGAATGGGCCCGAAAAACGCCGCTCTTTTGTTAAAACGCGCCATGCTGCTGCCGCCGCCGTCCGTCCTTCTGCTCCGGGCCTAGCGGCTTGAAACCTTCCCAGCGGCTTCAAATAAACCTCTCGGGGGAAGGTGGGGGTGTGTGTGGGGGGGGGGGCACGTTGCCTACATTAAGGCGAAACGCTGGGGCCCACGTTGAAAAGGCCGCCTGGTCAAAGGCGGGCAGCGGCTCCACGTCCGAGGCGGCGGCCGCACGCTGCACATAATCGAAACATGGCCGCCGAGGCGGGAGGTGGGGAACTGAAGCCGCGCTCTTTGAAGTCGACGATGCTGATACGAACCTGCCTGGCCCTCTGCAGAGCGTCCGCGAAAGCATCGTTCTTGAATCCCCCGCCGGCTAAAGCGTTCGGCGGCGCCACTGCTGAATATTCTGCCATTTTTTTTCTCTCTCCCTCTCTCTCTCTCTGTCTGTCTGTCTGGCTCTCCCACACACGCACTCTCTCAGCGCACGCACGCACACACCACACGCTGACGATCTCTGGCTCACTCTGCAAAATGGCCGCCACCGCCGCTCTGCCCCCGCCGCGCGCTGCGCCCAGAGCCAACTCTCGCGAGACCTGACGTTTGGTGCCGCCGCTGAGTCTCGCGAGGTGTCCGCGTCACGGAGCTCAGTTCCCTCCCCCCCCCCACTCCTCCCCCCCCCTCACTCCTCCCCCCCACACCTCTCCCCTCCCCCCCACTCCTCCCCCCCACCCCCATTCCTCCCCCCACTCCTCTCCCCCCCCACTCCTCCCCCCTCCCCCCCACTCCTCTCCCCTCCCCCCCACCACCCCAGGGAAGTGGGAGTTGCCCAGAGGACGCTGTTGCTTCAGGTATAGATAGGCGCACAGCTTGTCAGATTGTCATCCTTCCATTTGATGCAGCTCCTTGGCACGTCGTCGAGACGTTTCAAAGCGCTTCACGGAATGCACTGTGAAGTAATGATAATAATAATAATAGTGTAGTGACTGTGCATTTTGTGGGGCGAAACGTAGCAGCCGATTGCGCACAACGGTGCCCCTCGTTTGTGAACGGTCGTGGATCGAGTGACCGAATTATTATGTTTTTTTCGGAGGGATTATTTCCCCCGGAAAGAGATCCGCCAATCGACTAACAAGCGGGTTCCTACTTACTGCTTGGTAAACAGAGGCGTTCTCGCGCGCACGCGCGTGTGTGTGCATGGAGCAAGGAAACTTGCCTAAGGTATTGCCCAGATTCAACAGCAACAAGTTGCATTTATATAGCGCCCTTCACGTGGGGTAGCATCCCAGAACGCTTGAGAGTAGCGGAATCCGACCTGAGCCGGGGTGGGGGAGGGGGGAGCGAGAGGGGAGGTGAGATTCAGACCAGACAACTTAATGGAGTCGCCGCAGAGGGGGACGTTTGTGGACCTTAAATTTCTAGGTTTGCCAACCACACTCCCCCCTCCCCCCCACCCCACCACCAAAAAAAATCCCAGTAGGAATATTGCTTTGTCATCTTTGCAGTGAAACTAGAAAATACACAGTCAAAACCACTTTTACAGTATATCCACTGAAGCGCTTTGAGACGTCTGGATGATGTGATCAGACCCAATATATCAATTGCAAGGATTATGAAGTAATTGTTGACCCCTGAAGAATCCTTTAGACACACAGAAGTCATCTGAATTTGGTACACAGTGTCCACACAGTCTAATAATAATCCCTACATTTGGTCTTTCATATGAGGAGTGGCGTCCCAAAGTGCTAAACAGGTAAATTGCAGGGATTTCAGTGTTTTATGGGCAAAACAACCTTCACCTGGCATTGACTCGCTTAAATCGAGCAATGATTGTTTGACATTTCAATGCTGTGACTGGTCCCAATCTTCTGTATGCCACTCAACAACAACAGCAACTTGCATTTCTGTAGCGTCCTTCGTGCGGGCAGCATCTCAGAGAGCTTAATGGTTTCATGCAATTATTCACTAATGTCCCATTAAAAGTCATTTTGCAATTTTGGCAAATATAGTTTCTCGTTTTGGACCATTCAAAATATTGGGAGCAATGAAGGGGATCGATTTTTTAAACAGGTGGCTGCAGTTCTTTATATAAACTGAAACTAAATAGTGGCAGTGACAGCACTCGCTGCATTTAGTAACAGTGCTTTATGAAACCTAAACATATTTGTCAGCGTTGTAGTTCCACCCTAATTTCTATTTTAGTCTTCCACTCTAGATAGGCAGAGGGGCTTTTAGATTTTGTAAATGCTGCCAGAAATAAACAGAGTTTGCATTTGATTCATTTTCAATCAATAAATAATTAAAATGACAAGGTTTTCAATGACGCATTCTGTGGCACATAACAATTGTTGGTACCGCACGTCTCACCTTTCCAGTACCTTCTGGGGTTTCCTTAATTACAGCCTTCATCTGGTAGTGTGTCACAGTTTACTGTGTATCACAATGTTTCAATCAATCAGCTCAACATGTTCTCCTGTTCCGAGTTTCCTGCCATATTACAACAGAGCGAAAAGCGACGTCGAACAACAGCGTGGAACTCTTCAGCGGGTTTTTCAACATTGTTTTTCCTCCCCCTGACCCACAGACAGTGAAGCTAATTGTAGTACTTTTCTCATTTCAGTATAATCCAGCAATTAAACCTGTGACTGTCCTGATCTCCGTTCGTAGTGTCACACGACACAGTGCATTCATTCAGTCAGCCCTATGGAGAGAATGCGTGTGTGTGTGTGTGGGGGGGGGAGGGGGGGGGGGGTCGTCCATCCTTAAAGTTCACCTGTTTGTGAGAGCTATATTTAAAATTAGGGACTTGCAAAACTTCCAAAATACCATCTGTTGTTTGCCAGGAAGCGAGTTTACATTTCAAGCTTCAATCGATTGAAAGTCAAACTATTTTTAAAACAATGTCCTAACACTGGGGCTTTATGCACTCAGATGTTCCACAACAGTGATACCAATACATATCAAAGCATAGAGGTGAAGATTGGAGAATAGTAAGAGCCACATCGATGACTCAGTCGGTCAATCTTTCATATGCGCATAAATGGTCACTTGAACCAGTGTTGGATGAAGTTTGATTCATGTTTGATTTGGTTCCAGTTTGATTCGTGGTATAACAGCTCGCTGATCAGCTTGGAGGATTGTTAACTAATACGAAAAGAGATATCTTACATTTTCTCAAATAATGTCATTGGATTTGTAATATCCACCCGAGGACAAGCAGACGTGTCATCTCGTTGGAACGATGGACACTTAATGAACTGATTCACGGGAAAGATTTTCACTCCATCTTCTCTGTTGTGCTGTGTATCTTGGGATGAAAATGCAATATGTGTTATGCTAATTATCACATCATAGGATATTTATTTCTTGGCGATGTCGCAGTGATAATAATAATAATAATAATCCTTCCATTTGATATAGCGCTTTTCACGTCGAGAGGACGTCCCAAAGCTCTTCACAGAACACACTGTAAAGTGAATTGACTGTATATTTGTGGGCGAACGCGGCAGCCAATTGCACACAGCAATGTCCCACAAACAGTCGTAGATTGAAAATGACCAATTTATTATTGTTTTTTGTTTTGGAGGGATTATTATTAGGCTCTATGTGGAGTAAGGAAACTTGCCCAAGGTTTCGCCCTCTGCCTGGAATTGAACTCAGGTCAATTCGAGTGCAAAGCGAGTGCTCTAACCACTGAGCTACAGGACTCCATGGGAGAACATGGAAAACAAACCTTTCACTTTTTTCAATACTTGGGTGGGAGTTTTGATGTCCACCCTGAACAGGCAAATGGGCAGCAATGCACATGTCTGTTAAAGTTAAGACAACTGAGTAATTTCCTCTGAAAAATAAAAACGAGTGTGCTGCAAATGCCAAAATGTGTATTTATATGATCAGCACAAGGGATACGAGGCAATTATCTCTGTTTGAGTGGCAAGTGATTGACAGGTTTGTCGTACTTGCCAAAATCTAGGGTTGTGATCCACGCCAAACACTTTCTTGTGACAACGTGACGCAAACATGAGTTGTAGTCCAGCATAACCTGATAGGTCTGTGCAAAATTCATATTGGGTCAGACTGTAAAGCGATAATATCTAACTGAAAGTAGCTACATTAAATGACCGGAGGAAATGAAGAAAATGAAAATTGATTTAATGTAAGAAATATAATGAATTAGTGAGTATTTATCTTTCATTGCTGAACAATATAGTAACTTCTAGTGGAGAATACTGCAAACATCGTCAATGGTATAGGAGTTAAGAAAGAAAGATTGGGGAAAGAGAAACATTTTCCCTCAAACAGTGGTTATATCAATATTCTCCAAAACAGGTTCCAGGAAGGTCAATCTTATAGTTCTGAACTATTTGCCCGAATGGTGCACCACAAATACACGGTGTGAATGTTATATGAAACTGGAAACCAAACTTGGTTCCTCTGATGCAGCGACTTACCGAACGAGCTGTTGGAAATAAACTTAAATAAAAAGTTCGCATGATTTTTTAAAAAAAATTAGGTAGAAAGCACACTTTATATATTACAAGTCATGTGAATTTCATCCAACAAAATACGTAGCATCTGATTCAGAACATTTACAAACCATTGCTGGACACATGTCAAACAATTTTGTCATTTGTTTCTTAACTGCACATTGAATTTTCAGAATATATCGCCAACTTTTCGATATTTATCTACAAATGTTCCGATAGACAGCAAATGCGTTAATATATATAATAACCAGAAAGTTTGTAGCTCTCGACGATCTACAAAAATACATCTGAAACCTAAAGAGTTTGTGGATCTCTGTTGCTCGCAAATTCCGTCTGAACACTCGGAAATGTTGTTGACCGATTTGAATGTTTTGATGTCATTCTCTGTATTGCTGAATTTCGATCCGTTTACCATTGCCCCCCTCTCCCCCTCCAAAAAAAAAAGCCACAAATGATTAAAAGAGTCGAGGAAAGAGTGGACTTTCCCAGGAACTGAGCCGCACTGACACCGAGGCGTCTTATTCACGACCCTCCAGCAATGAACACTAAACAGTTTAACCTTTTTTTTTAATATAAAAAAAAACCTCATGCGTTGGCATCCTGCACTGACCGCTCAATTTGATCTGGAAAGATTTTTTTTCCCCCCCCGGGGTGGGGAGGGTGGGGAGGGTGGGGTGGTGTGGAAGAAGGTTTAGGTGAGTCATTGGTTTGTGGAAGGCAGGAGGGAGGGTGGAGGGGGAGAGAGAGAGAGAGAGAGGGAGAGAGAGAGGGAAGTGTGGGGGGAGGAATGACGATTCGTTCGGGATCTTCTAGAAAGCGCTGGGCTTTTCCCAAGAGCGAATGTGTTTATATAAAGCGCAAGAGCGGGAGGAGAAGGAGTGGGGGCCATCGGTAGCCACGAAACGGGCGAGTCAGCTGCCGGAGCTCCGGGTGGTGGTGGTGGTGGTGGTGGAGGGGGAACTTGACTGCATTGCATTGCGTTGCGTTGCGTCCCCCTTTTTGCAGCAGTGCGGTGAACTTGCAAGCGGCGGCTGCCTGTGTGCGGTGCCACTGCGACATGGGCAAGGACTATTACAGCACCCTGGGCCTGCGGAGGGAGGGGGTCGCCACGGACGAGGAGATCAAGAAAGCTTACCGCAAGCAGGCGCTGAAGTGGCACCCCGACAAGAACAAGGCGCCCGGCGCCGCCGACAGGTTCAGGGAGGTGGCCGAAGCCTACGAGGTGCTGAGCGATCCGAAGAAGAGGGAGATCTACGATCAGTTCGGGGAAGAGGGTGAGTGGGGGTTTAGCAGCAGCAATAATAACAACAACAACAACAACAACAACAATCTTTGTAAGTCGTTGCTGCCGGTGCTCCCGCTTTCCCCATTCCCGCAGAGAGGGGATGGAGAGGGTCGGCACAAGGATGATGATGATGTTTTCGGAAAGCGATCGTGTGGTTTCCACTTTTAAAAGACCATTGTCATAATTATAATTATAATAATAATAATAATAATCCTTGCATTTGATACAGCGCTTTTCACGTCGGGAGGACGTCCCAAAGCGCTCACGGAACACACTGTAAAGTGAATTGACTGTATATTTGTGGGCGTATTATTAATACCTGCAAAGGGTTCTTTGGGTTTCTGGAAACAGTTCTGGAAACGAATGCGGCCACATTTGCCCCACTCCACCCAGTCATTGTTGATTGAGAGCCCAACCACCCGGGAATCAATCAATCAATCGTGACATGTCCGGAGTCCCGAAATATCTGGACCATGTTTGGACTTGAGAATTAAGAATGAGACCCATCACAAACACCTTGAAGCAGGTAGCACTTGTGCTTGTTTTTTTGAGTGTGAGCTGAAGTACATTTAATGTTTGAACCAAAATGTCTGTGCGCTGACAGATGTCTGTGTTATAATCCTGCCGTTGCTCTGGAGTCAACATGATCTTTCCAGATTTAACTGGAACTGGGCAGACGTGGTAAACGTTCTCCTTTTCCACCCATTTTTAGGACTGAAAGGCGGAGCCGGCGGTTCCGAAGGACAGGATGGGACATTTAGCTACACTTTCCATGGCGACCCGCACGCCACATTCGCCGCGTTTTTCGGAGGTGCCAACCCTTTTGAGATGTTCTTCGGAAGGAGGATGGCAAACGGCAATCATGAAGAAGATATGGATGTGGACGGCGACCCTTTTGGCTCCTTCAGTGGTTTTAACATGAACAGTTTCCCCAGGGAAATGCAAGCAGGGCAGCACAGGCGCAAACAGGACCCACCCATCGTTCGCGAACTTAGAGTATCTCTGGAAGAGATTTACAATGGCTCTACCAAGAGGATGAAAATCTCCAGGAAACGGCTCAATTCCGACGGCAGGACTACCAGGACAGAAGACAAAATACTGACCATTCAAATTAAAAGAGGCTGGAAAGAAGGCACCAAAATCACATTCCCCAAAGAAGGCGATGAAACACCCAACACCATCCCAGCCGACGTAGTCTTTGTGTTGAAAGACAAGCCACATTCGCACTTTAAGAGGGAAGGATCAAATATTGTCTCCCGTACAAAGATCAGCCTACGAGAGGTATGTTGAGCAACAGATAGCGTTTACAGTTCTAAAGTGTGTGTTTTCCCTTTTGCTTGCCTGCGTGTGCATGCAATTGAGAGATACCTGCAGATGAAACGGCTGCAAAGTCGTCCTTTTGATGAGATGTTAAACCAAGGCTCTGTCCCTCTATTCTGGTGGAAGTTAAAGATTCCATGACACTTTTTGAAAAGTGAAAGGAATGCACCCTGGCTTTTAGTCCCCCCCCCATAAAATTGTTCACTCACTCTGTGGCTGTTTGTGGGATATTGTGTGCAGATTGGCTGTTGTGTTTGCTCACAAACTACACGCAGCCACATCCTGTGTATATCCTGTGAAGTGCTTTGAGATGTCTTGATGGGGTGCTATGTCCAATATTCTGAAAATATGGGAATTGTCCAGCAGCTTCGATTTTTGTCTGTGAAGTTTTTGTCTGGTTTTGTGACTATCAATGCAGAACCAGAGTAAATTTAAGGTACGTTTTGATGGGTATGTGAAGGTAATTGCCTCCTTCGCCTTCTCTACTTCCATGCTTTCCTAACCTCCTATTGCTGTATGTATACTGCTCAAAATTCCAGCGGTCTATCAATCATTGTTCCAAAATATTTTAAAAAGTAAATCTATTGTTGGGGAAGTAAAATTAGTAACTAAAATAAAAAAACTATGGACTTTTTAACAATATTTTAAACTGTTCTTTTTAAATTTTACAGGCTTTATGCGGTTGCTCAATTGCTGTGCCAACCCTGGATGGTAGATCAATTCCATTAACAACCCAGGAAGTGATTAAGCCATTAATGAGAAAAAGAATAGCTGGGAAAGGTTTGCCATTTCCCAAAAATCCTGACCATAGAGGCGACATAATTGTGGAATTTGAAGTCATTTTCCCAGACAGCATATCACCAAGTTCCAAAGAAATACTAAAGCGACATTTACCTGTGTCATAAATATTAGATTGGATTAATTAACCAGAAGTTTTTCTGCTGTACATAAAGAAATGACTGCTTCACAGTATTGTTTAAGAAGTGTGTATTTAGTATGCAGCGTTTATTATTTGGGCACGTTTGAAAGATTTATTAAGACAGTGTTTTATGGTTCTAAGCAGAAGTGAAAGATGCTGTGTTTTGTGAAACTGTAGATTTTTTGTACATGTCAATGTTTTTATTTAGAAAACTATTTTGTAAATACAAATGCTGCCTGACAAAAAGTCAGTGCTGAATAAAGTTTATAACTGAACAGAGAATAAATGGAAAAAAAAGACTGAACCTATTTTATCTTATCTTATATTCAAGTGTGACAATCAATATAAGCATGGATCTGCTTTCTATTGTACTGTTTTCAATAGTTGTATGGATTTATGGTGCACAGAATAATTTTTTATAGTTACTATAGTGGAAACAGTTTTACAAAAGTTGATGTTATAATGAAATATCAGTGTATGCATTGCTGGGATTAGAATCTCAAATATTGCAATGATTAAATCTATACATGTTTTTAAAATCGAGGGGGAACTCGCTCTCTCAAATTCTACGTGTATGTCTTGTTCCTATTACCACTAAAATGTGCAGGAACAAAACATTTAATGCTGCATTTCAGGACAGAGCATGCTCTTAAACACGCTCAAACCTTCTGCACTTTTTTCCCTGCAACAATTAACTTTATCAGAAGCTCAGAGCATTAGGGGTCTTTGAGGTCTGTAACGAATAGTGTTTTACAAAAGATGAGGAGTGCATAACAGTAATTTTGCAATAACAATTTGCATGTATGTAGTGCTATACACATGTGGTAATACCTTATCATATGGGGTGGGGGGGCAAGAAAGATGCATTGAACTTGATTTTGGGTCATCCTGACCCAAACGCAGCTGAAGATTTACACAAATGAAGTAACAGAAGCTTTCATGCAACTTACCGGCTGCGTGGATCTGTTCAGGTGGATGTTAAAGATCCCATGGCTATAATTTGATAAAAGAAGGGACGTTTCCTCCAGTGTCCTTGCCAACAACCCCGCTCATAGAATTCGTCATTCGTGTCATATCTATTTGTGAGACGTTGCGCAAATTGGCTGCTGCGTTCACTGCAAAGTATACAGTTAACTGCACATTACAGTAAATGTTGTGAAGCACTTTGGGACATACCCCCACCCCCAGTAACAACAACAACAACAACAACAAATTGCATTTATATAGCGCCTTTCACGTTGGAACGACGTCCCATGGCACTGGACAGTCAGGGTGCAAACGCACCTGAGTTGGGGGTTGGAATCAAGAAGGGTGGACGGTATGCCCGGGGGTTGGCGCGGGGGGAAGGTGGTTGAAGAGGAAGGACCTTGAGACCCCAGTGATGGGAATCGGCTGCCGCGTTTCGCCCACAAAACAATACACGGGTCAGTTCGCTCCGCGGTAGATCCTGCGAAGCGCTTCGAGACGTCTCGAAGACCGTGACGAGGGGCCACATCAAATGCAAGGACAGTTATTAGGATTAGAAAGACGTTGTGTCAAATGTGAGGCAACTGACCACATAACCGCAATCTCCCTCTTGCCTGTGACGTCGGGGCAGGGGAGGGGGGGGGGGGGGGGGGGGGATGCGCACTACGGCCGCGCGCACCGGTGTGTGTGTGTGTGTGGGGAGAAGTCGTGCTGCGCATGCGCATCCCGACTCCTCCTCCCCCCCCACTCGCTCGCGCGAGCACCGGCCGCCCTGAGCGCGTGCGCGCTGGTGCCAGTCGGCAGTTGAAGCGATTCACCTGTTGGCTCGAGCCACGGCGGTTACAGGAGGCGTTGCGACTGTCCCTCTCCCACTCACTCACTCACACACACACACACAAGGGACTCGGCCTGAGCCGCCTGAGCCAGAGACATGCCGCTGGGCCTCAGAAGCAGAAAGAAAAACAAGACGAAGGAGAGCTCGGCGCTGGTGGGGCTGGTGGAGAACGAGGAGGTGGGCAGCTGGCGCGGCGGCAAAGCGGCGGCGGGGGCGGCTCCCCCTCAGGCCAGCACCAAGCTGGTCTTCCACACGCAGTTGGCTCACGGCAGCCCCACGGGCAGGATCGAGGGCTTCTCCAACGTCAAGGAGCTGTACGCGAAGATCGCCGAGGCGTTCAACATTTCCCCGGGAGAGGTAAGAGTTCTGTCTCGTCTTCGTCTCTCTTCCTTCCTCCCCTTCCTCCACACCCTCCCTGCCTCGAACCAGCCACCCAAGCCCAGGCGCCATCCTCCCTCCCTCCCTCCCTCCGGAAGGAGCGGACACCGGCGGACGTTGGAGTTGAACTCTGCCTCTGCCTCCCTCGAACTTCTCAAACTGCCGCCCACCGGGCGGACTCGCTCACGGCTCGCGATGGAAGCGCACTTGATAGTCCCGGCTTCCAGATCTGCTGCTTTCTCTGCGCCCCCGCCCCGCCCTTCCCTGACACCTGGGCCTGACTGAGCCGGAGCTTCCCTGAGCTCTGCCTTTCGGTGGTTTTCGTTCCCCGTTTTCTTTCCTGTGCATCAGTGCAAAAGGGCATTGACGTCAGGGAATCACGAACTGGTTGCACTTTCGAGGTGTTGTTTATCTTCGAGTTCAGTGTTGCTTATTATCCCGCGGCTGAATGGGCTGTTCATATTTATGTGTGTGTGTGTGTATATATATATATATGTATAGTACATCGAAATAATGATCATTGCATTTGAAATGCTCCTGACAAAAATGAGCTGTTTAAAAATAGTTTCGTTACGAACCGCCCGAGGATACGAACGTGTCCATACATTCTGGTTTTCTCTGCCGGGCTGTGTGCAATGTGAATACATCTTGCATGCTTTCCGGAACTTCTCACTAATCCTGTGCATGCAGTTGTTAGAGCAGTTCCTTTGCTTGCATTTTACAATGCAGTGATGAGTTTGGTTTAAGATGTTCGATGCAACAGGAGGTGCAATGTGTATGCCAAAACTTGGCTATCAAGTTAAAGAGGGAAATCCTCTTTCTCTGCATCCTGTTTCCAAGAAACAAAATCGTGGATGTAAATCTTGCAGCAACAGTGGATCAATTGGGCTGGGGATTCATTTCAGAATGTTAGGTTTTGTGCATTTGTAGGCTGTCTGTTTATCTGAAAATGGACAATTTTTGCCATGTTTTGTGATGCATATTGCATTAGTTTAAAAAAGAATGAAATTAAGCATTCATTCATTTGGTTCTCAAAGTTAGTGCTCCATTGATTTATCGTTCTGTTTGGCCTCTTAAAATATTAGATAAATAGTGTTTGGGTATACAATTCCATTTTTGTGTGCTTGGTTAACCTGTCGCATGTATCATTTAAATATTTAGCTATTGTAATTTATGAAGTTCCTAAAATGAATGGAACCAATAATGTGATATTTGCATTGGAAATCAGAAGGAAATTCTGTGGCCAATGCAAAATATACCATCACTAATCTGACCCATTTGAGCATTCTGTATACAGAGCATGAATGGGATGCATTGCACACATCCTTCCTATAACATCCATTTCCTCTGCTCGACTTTTGACAGTGCTCTTCCCCTTCAGTTTCTGTTTCCACACAGAAACATTATATTAAATGTTAACTCTTGTAAAATGAGTAAGATTGCCGTGTGACCAAAAGCCTAGGAGTATTATAAATTTGGGAGATGGACAACATACACTGACCCATCAAAGACCTTTGTTAATTCCCTCAAAGAATGTTTTGCTATTTTGACTGATTTGATTAATGCATTTGTTTGGAGTTTCAGAGTATCGCAGCCACATTGTATCACAGCCACAGAGTATTCATTGCCACATTGTGGATTAAATGTTGCTTTAGTGTCCATTGTGACCGTTAACACGATCAGATTTCTACTGTATAGTTTTCTAGCAGGGTACAAATAAATTAACCTATGGGTTGAGTTTTTTGACTTGTAATAAAAATTTTAAAAATGCATGTTTCTTTAAATTAATTTAAGGTTGATAGATAACCCTCCCTGGTTATCTATCAACTGAAGACTTATTGTTTGGCCTTTATTGATACCGTGTCATTTCCCAAATAAAATTCGTGCAAACAAGATGCCATATTCCACCCACACAATAGACAGGCAATCCACTTTCCTGTTTGTAACTAGGGATATGCTAAATTATGAACAGTAGATAATGAAATTGAATAAGAGCAGCTTTGATAGTTAACTAACAGTACATTGGAGACACTATGACCTTCATTTCCCACATATATTGTCGTTACTGTAACAGTTTTCTGTATAGAATGGTCACTTTAATAATGGAGTTTGCTATATTGTATTTTGATAGGCTAGCAAGATTATTTGTACAAAATTATTTCATTTTTACAACATAAAAGCAGCACATGCTACTCATCACACACCTTTACATCCATTACCGTATGTAATGTATTAATCCTCTCCCTCTGCCTGTCCTGACTCCTCAAAACCCTCCTCTTCGACCATGCCATCGGTCACCTCCCCTCCCTTCTCCCTCCCTGACCCCAGCTCGGGTCTGAAATTATGTACACTATCCTCCCGACGTGAAAGGCCCTATACAAATGTAATGTTGTAGAGCTCCATTAACTAGAAACACTTAATTCCATTATTGAATTGGCACGTTTCTTGCTCCCATCACCCACCCAAATAGTAACCTTTTCAAGGCAGATTCTTATAGACTGGATTTAAAGTGTAGCTTTTACAATTGATTGCAGGAGTTTAAATTGAGGATAATTGTATCAATTAGCTTATCACATTCATAATTAGTATTAGTTAGGCAAGAGACTGGTGCTATAGAAGTTTCAGTCTTCATGTGGCTGATTTTGGAGTGATTGCAGAATATCCAAAAAAGTAGCAATATTCTGCAGCATTGTAAGCAAATTACAAATAAGCTTGCCTTATTTAATTAAATGTAACGGAATATGATTTCAGTTCTCTCAATCTTTTCATGTCCTTATAGAAATTTGAGTTACTCTTTAAAGTGTGAAATTCAAATGCATGATTTTATATAAAACTTTATTATTTTATTTTAACAGAATACATTGGGGGAGCACAGTCGTATCTATAATATAAAGGGTAGTGACTTTTTGTAGAAGTATCATTTCATAATTCCTGGAGACTGACGTCATTGGAATACTTGTAACAACTTAAGTTGTAGTTTGGCTATCGAAGAGTGTGCAGGCACATTTGTTACTTGGAAATAACCTTGGTGTGAAGGTCTCCTTGATTTTGGTAATTTGGTTGGTACATTTCTTGTGGGTCAGAATTGCACAACCAGTGATTTATCTTTTTCGACTTCTGATACTTTGGAATCTTCTGGACAGTTTGTAGTTAGGCAGCTGTTTGGCAGTTGTCATGGCTTCAGATAATACTGAAAAGAGCAAGCACAACTTTTTGATTTTTTTAAACCGCTAATTTATTTTAAAAGTAGCTCTGATTGGTTTATCATGTTTGTGGAATAAATTACACACTGCATTTTCATGCGTAGGTGTCGCTAACTATCTTAGCAATATACATGGAATAAATTTGTGAACATCGCCAATACATGTGTCTGCCAAATGCCTACACATGTTAAAATTCCAATGGAGTAGTGTTCTTTTATCTCACCGATCAATTATTTTCTTCTTTGTTAACTGGAAGAAATGTGTTGCTGTGACTGATTCAGTATTCGAATGAATCCTCCCCAATCAGGTTGAATTGATAGTTTTTGGCTTTATCTGTGCCTTTTGTCAATGTTTGAATATGTAATCAGGATTTTATATGTAGCCAAGTGTTAATTTTAGTGTGCTAAAAATATAAATATCTGTTCCGAGATTGTCAAGGAATCATCAGAATTCGGATTCAGAAGTGCATGGGAGTCCGAATGTTTGTAGGATAGAGAACAACCATTTGGCTACTGGCATTGGGGGGAATACACAACTGTATGTTGTAGATATATTAAAAAAATCAAAATGACATTGTATGGCAGTGGCCTTGTGTCTGCTGCAGTTTTATGGATGGTATTGTGGCCACAGTTTCTGGGACTAGTTTTCTGAGAATGACGGTACATAGATATAACCAACAGTAATGTGTAACAGGGATAATAGCCTGCACACAACCACAACTTGCATTTATATAACGCTCCTCACGCAGAGTAGTGTTCCAGAGGGTAGCATCCCCGAGTGCTTGACAGTGGTGAAGCACAATGTAGGCATGGTTGAAGATGGAGAATGAAGGGGCAAGGCAGAGGGATAGAGGAAGAATATTCCAGAGTTTCAGGGTATGTTAACATTCTTCAGAATCTGTTGTAATGGAACAAAAAAAAGACCTTTTCAGGCAGTAATTATTTGTCTTTGCTCCATGTATGCAAAATGCAAAATTTGTCCCTTTACGATTTTTCATTTCCGAACTACCTCATCTTCAATAATGTGCTGTAGGATGCCCCACCCCTTCTTAATAAATAAAACTGGAATAGTAGTTAATTTAAAACTGTAATAACAGTTTTGAAGTAAAAATGAGAAAAGTAAAAATGGAAAAACTGTGTGCAATCCATTCCATGAAGCTTTGGAATATTTTTAAAAATGTTGTTATCATTACCTGCGGTGCCTCAAATCCACCTTGATTGGCTTGCAAAAAAGTTGTAACACAACTGTATTATGGAATATATATAATAGATAGATATAATCACTTGTTACCAAGCTTTACTGGTAAGGTTTTGTCTAAAATGTGTTTTCTACTATGTTGGGAATGATACAAGAAATTTAAACGTTCTCCTTCTAAAGACCCAATAAGGGGAACTGGGAAGAATTAAGGACTTGTCATAAACATTCAGTCACCAAGTGCCCAACTTGAAAATAGTAGACATGAGTGATAGTTAATGTAAATTCTTCCTCTTCACAGTTGCTGAAACTTGTGTTAAATGTATAAGGGTGATACGATGGAAAACTGAGTTTCTATGTTTTTAGTGGTAACATTTAAATAATTTAATAGTTACACAAAATCATAGATATATGGATTCATGTTAAACAGAACAAATTTGCAGTAAGCCTCCGTATAATTAAGATTTTTACTTTATTAGAATGACTTCTGAAATTGTTATTTACCAATGATGTTTTCTTTTCCACACAGATATTATTCTGCACATTGAATACCCATAGGATTGACATGGACAAACTCCTTGGGGGACAGATTGGCTTGGAAGATTTCATTTTTGCACATACAAGGGGCATTAAGAAAGAAGTGCCCATATTAAAGGCTGAAGATGCTCTGGGATTAACAATAACAGATAATGGAGCAGGATTTGCTTTTATAAAGGTAGGTTACAACAAAAAAATTTGTGACATGTCTGACCAAAATAGACAATTCTATTTTGCAAGAATCATTCAGCAAGGATATTCTAATGGAAACCTATAGCATTTGTGCTTGTGCTTCTGTTACATATTCCACATTTCTTCACTTCCTTCACTTTATTCACACTTATTTAATGCTCTATATCATAATACTCAATTAACAGATAAATACTTAACAAAACCCAAGTATCAATCTGTGGCATAAACAGATATTCGGAGAAAAAGGATTGCGTTACCATTTTCTTCTGCTACCTTGTATGTTAATGAAGTTTTGGTGCATTCTAGAAATGCAATTTGTTTTATTTATTTCTCCCATTTGTTTTAAATAAAACAGTTAATGTCCTTGTGTTTTAAATCCATTCTATCTTAGACCTGACTTAGTATATAAAAGATTCAAGAGTCAGTGTTTCCCTATAAGTGGAAGAAAGAAGCACGGTAAAACCTGAAGGGATTATTAGGATAATCTATTTAATCTGATAAAATTACCAACCAGCACCTTTAGGTAGTGTAATGTTCATGCGTTTGATAATATCAATTAGATATATTTATTCAATATAAAATGTGTCCCTACACTCAACGTGAAAACGATGTTACAACAACTTGCAATTATATAGCGCCCTTCATGCGGGGTAGCGTCCCGGAGCGCTTCAAATGTTTAATAACCTGTAGAGGAAAGTAATGTCAGAATTTCACTAAGTTTGTGGAAAATACTACAAGCACATTTGAGTCCTGCAAAAACATACTTTTTCAGTTCAGGAGTTCAACATATTGTGACATGAATCAGACTTGGTATAAAATAAGGAAACAAAATTCCTCCTTTTTTTAAATTTTTTTAAAAAATAATAGAAGGTTCCACAAAGTCTGGCTTACTAAAGTACTTCCATACCTGTAAAAGCGAATGACTAGCCCCTCAAGCATTTTTAGTACTTGTTAAGTGCACAACACTGAAACAGAAAGTGTTTCAAACACAGACATGACTTTGAATCGTGTATGAAAGGAATAAAGATTAAGCTCATATTGAAGGCTGTTGTCTAAGTTATAACAGTGCTTAATAATGGGACAGTTTACATCTGAAATCGGTGTAGGGTATTTGAATCTCTTTCCTAGTAGCCAGATCAACATCAAACAAGATATATATATATATATATATTTATATATTGCCTATGTTCTCCCTCCCCCTGTTTTAAAGGTGTTGGGACTCCTTTTTTCTTTTCTGCTGGAATTTCAGCTCCTTGGGACATTCTCCCAACCTGAAAGGCGTTTTACGAATGTAATTTTGTATTCTATGGTTCAAGTGTGAGTTTTCTCTATGACTGTTATTGCAACATTCAGATGAATGGCAGGGCATCACAGCCTTGCCTGATCTTGCCTTCACTTGACATTGAATAGTAAGCGCTTTGAGAACTACTTTGCATGAAAGGCGCTATGTAAATACACGTTGTTGTTGTTGTACACACGCATACCATTTGTAGCAGGGAAATTTCCTGGAACCTGTTTCATAGCTGATGATCTCGGGATATTTGGAGTGAGAGCAAATCAGGGAAAAATTACAAAATTAGATTATTTGACAAATTAGATTGGCTGACGCATTTCTCCCACAAATATACAGCAATTCACTTTACATTATATTCTATATCAAATACAAGGATTATTATAATTATTATTACAAGCCCTTTTCTATACAGAGAGATGATTATTTTCAAAGAGTCATATGTGAAGCCACAATACTTTGCAAAATCTCATTCCAAAAGAGATTTTAAAGATGTTATGCATTTTTCTTGAAGCTAATGTGGAAAAGTTTTTTTCTCTCTTTCTCCAAATTTGTACATTATGATGGTCAGTTGTATACACAGTCTGTACAGCACTGAAATGGCCCAACTAGTCTATACCGGTGTTTATTATGTTAAATATTAGGGCAGAATGAAATAAGTATTTTTATAAATCTGCTGTAACTGATAGGGTTGTGTAAGGATAATCTGGAAGGCTGCTTTGGTACTTTGAGTGTTTTAAAGGTCAGTTGATCCTTATTTAGGGTGGCAGTGGTAACCTATCCCTAAGTAAATCTGTAAAGCAATGACTGATCTATTTGGATCCAAACCAATCTGATTGCAGACTTGTGATGTCATTTGAAGATGACTAATCTGTTCTGATTTAGGTTGTGGCTTGACAAGTTTCTCCTGAAAGTATGACTAATACTTTCCACTTACATTTTGTATTTTAAAGGTGGAATATGAAACCTCTTAAAATACACTAGCAGTGGTATTGCACTTTATTTTTTAAATAATTTCTCATTGTTCCTACTCTACTGTAATATATGGTAAGTTTTGTCTTCTGTGTGGAAATTTGTACATTGACCAGTTAAAATTAATTTCAGTAATTAAAATTAATTTGAACATTTATATCGTATCTAATTGTCAGAGTTAAATTATTGTCTGTGGTTTCTTCTCTCCCCACCTCTGTACCCTCCCAACTCATCAGATTTTATTTCAAATCTTCCATTCCAAAATTATTGGCTGAGCTTTCAGCTAAAATGCTTCTATTCTCTCGGACTTCTAAATTGTTTTACCTTTTTCCCCCCTCCAACCATGCCTTTGGTAACAGCATTTAATTTCACTTTGCTTGGTGCTCAACATTGTATCTATCATATAGTTAAATAAGCTGTTCATCTACAAGAAAGTTGCTGTTCCATATATTTAGCAAATGTAAAATCTGATACAAAAGAAAGTAAGTTACATGTAAGTTCTCATTAAAAGGATAAAAAAAAGTCAGTTGTAAGACTGAAGGATTTGAAATATTCTCTTGGCTTCCTATGAGAGGTTGCAAAGGAAAAGGAGTGGCAGAAACTATTGGGTGGTACACACATGTTCTCAACATACCCCGTAAAAAGTAGAGACGTTACAGGAAATAATTTTGGGCAACAGAAACAGAACCACAAAAATGTTGGTAAAGCGAGGAAGGAAGTCATTACTAGTTGTATTTTTAAAAAAAATTGCTTTTTTGATTGGTCCAGTTGTAAGATTAAAAATTCTAGAGTACAGTACCAGCTCAAAGATTTGACAAAGCTTTTCTAGATATAAAGTTTTCCAAATATTTTAAGTAGAATTTATAGAACAGTGATCTGTGCGTTGTGAGCATCTACCTATGTTTTGGCTGGATCTATACATGACAATGTTCCTTTTGGTAAAATAATAATAAGCCTTCCATTTGATATAGCGCCTTATCACATCTTCAAGATGTCTCAAAGAGATTCACAGAATATACTGTAAAGTGAATTGAATGTATTTTGTGGGCAAAAAGCATCTCAATCTTCAGTTCCTCCTATCCCCCAGGGACGTAAAGTCCTGATAAGGCGACCATAGCTAAACTTTTAAGTCATCATGCTGGCAATATCCCGGCTGCATTTATTTATGTATTTGTACACAAACCTAACTTTCCACTCAGAATAACTCATCACTAAACCCGTTCTCCTCGGAGTGAATAGTTATCAAGAGTTTACTGTATCTTGTTCCTTGAACACCCAATACCTTATGTCTGACACAAATTCCGAAGATTGGGGAAATTGAGGTAGACGTCCACTGTCATGAAATTGAGCAACCATTTTATTTGATTTCATTCTTTACCACACATCGGATGTGGTTGACCACAAAGCAGTACTTAGTGACAATCCAGAATCTTAAGTTATTTTCTCTTGTGCCCCAGCTGGGTACACAAGCTCAAATGTGCACCGGATAAACATGCATCATAACTCCTTGACTCATTTAAGGGCATCAATTTGCTAAGTAGATGGTGACTCATGACTGTTGTAACTTTATGATTTGCTAGGTAAAATGGGATAATGTGTTTTGGCACAAGTGTAAATATCGATGTAACTTCAGTGAACTTTGGGTACGGTGGCTTCTTGCTAGGATTTTCATGTTGTATTTGCATCACTGCAATTGGGGTGTGAAATTCCCAGTATAAAACCAATTCTCTTGCCTATTCTTCAGTGTTGGTGAACTGCATTCTGCAAAATGACCTATTATCACCTTGATTTCTCAAGATAAAAAAATGTGTATTGGGTAACTGTCCTGCTTCTAAGAGATTTCCCTGTAGAAAAATACTGCAGAGTCATCTAGTGGTAGTAAAACCACTGTACAATCAAACATGAAAATCTCCATTGCTGTGCACTGCTTATTTACTTAACGAATACAAAATGGAGTTTGGTGCTTTTGTTAAAAGTAAACTGCCATTAAGTTTAATATAAATGAGATTGCATTGCCAGAGGTGTGGTCTGGTTACAAAAACAAATTGTTTATTTGATTCTAAATCAGCTTGTTAATAATAATAATAATCCTTGCATTTGTGGAGTCCTGTAGCTCAGTGGTTAGAGCACTCGCTTTGCAAGCGAGAGACCTGAGTTCATTTCCAGGCAGGTCAGGGCGAAACCTTGGGCAAGTTTCCTTACTCCACACGCCTAATAATAATCCCTCCAAAACCAAAAACAATAATAAATTGTCATTTTCAATCTACGACTGTTTGTGGGACATTGCTGTGCGCAATTGGCTGCCGCGTGCGCCCTCAAATATACAGTCAATTCACTTTACAGTATATTCTGTGAAGCGCTTTGGGACGTCCTCCCGACGTGAAAAGCGCTATATCAAATGCAAGGATTATTATTATTATTATTATTATTGATATAGTGCTTTTCACATCTTCTAGACATCTCAAAGCGCTTCACAGAATAGACTGTAAAGTGAATTGACTGTATATTTGTCAATTGTGCACCGCACTGTCCCACATGGTCATGGTCATGGATTGAAATGACCAATTTATTATTGTTTTTTTTCTTGAAGGATTATTATCAGGCATGTGTAAGGAAACTTGCCCAAGGTTTCATCCTGCTGGGAATCGAACCTAGGTCTCTTGCTTGCAAAGCGAGTGCTCTAACCACTGAGCTACAGGACTCCACAAGTCTTAGGCCGAATGCTTTTAGAGAAAAAAAACAATTCACCGTTTTAGCTTGAGCTATTAAGATTGAAGTAAATGTGTATATAGTAAAAGTAATCATGGATAATGAATGATAAGAAGTATCTAACACTTTATCTTAATAATATGCATTTCTTTAATTTTCCAGCGCATCAAGGAAAACAGTATCATTGATGGTGTTAAAGTAATCTGTATTGGAGATCACATAGAATCGATCAATGGACAAAATATTGTGGGTTCTCGGCACTATGAAGTTGCCAAGATGTTAAAAGAGTTGCCTAAAGGAAGCACATTTACACTAAAGCTGGTGGAACCTACAAAAGCTTTTGGTACGTTTCAAATACTTTGCAATATAAACTGCCCTGAATTACAAATGCCCTTTTTTTTGTATGTTCATCAATTTCAAGTGCTGTAGATTTATTGATTGGCTATACTTTCTTCCTCGTAGATGAGTTGTTTTCAGGTATGGTCATTTTCCTGTTTTTTCCTTATTGGATACAGCCACTCAGAACATGCAACAGATGTTGTTAGTTATTCTATGCAACAGGTGAGACAAACTATGTAGTCTCTGACAATAGAAAAGAGTAAATGAGCTCTTCTGCCCTGGATTCCTCAGTTGTGTTCCGTGTTTAGATTAACCAATGTAGTATAAATCACTAGTTCCCCTATTTGTTCTTTGAATTTCTCCTCACTAAGACAACCAGATAACTTGAGGAAACTGACCATATGGCACTCTTCAAATGTTGATCACATTCAAACAAGTGACTTGTCCACGAACATGTAGCACAGATTATTGGATCCGTTTTGGTAGTTAAAATGCCTCAGGAACAGTTCCTGTTAATAGGAACAATGTAAAATGATGTCTAAACTATTATGGTAATATCAATAAACTAGAGATGCGATCCAGTCCAAGCAATTCGTTTTTGTAACAACAACTGGCTGCAAGTCCTCCTTAGACATTACAGATTAAATGTTAAGAGATTCTGAATTTAGGGAAGGATATATTTGGCGATCAATGGTGTCATCCAAAACGTGGTCCAGGTGTGTACAGCCAGACTTTTAAGTCTTAAATCTTGTTTTTCTTCTGATCACATCCAATCTTTGAATGATGGGGCCAAGAAGGAAAAAAATCGTCCATCACTTTCAACGTTTCTGCTTGTTGTTGAGAGAAATAACATTGGACATTGTTGCAGGCTTCTCTCCTCTTTTAATAGAATCAGTAGCCAGGCATTGTTCCTTTCTTCAGTGTTTGGCAACACTGCATCATTTTTCTGAGGAAAATTGGAGTGTTGCAATCAAGGAAATCTTATTAAGACAGCTATCGTGAAGTATTACCTTACACACTTGCCCTTGAAAATTCATTGCTTTTTCTACTACATGGGGATGGCCCCAAATCAGAAAGCATTGTTCAGGACATAAACCAGGAACTATTTGTGTGATCCACCAATTCTCATCTGGCAGAACATTTAATAGTAATAGGAATTTTGTGTTAGTGCAGAGATCTACTTTTCCCCATTCCAAAATTAAGTCCAGCTGGAAAATGGTGGTTCTCTGCTGGAATTGCTGATGAGGTGCTTCTGTATATCACCAACAAGTAATTGTAACAGCAGCTTTAATTTAAAACTTGTACTTTTGAAGTATTCTTTTCTCTCTGTTGGGACTTTTTCTCCTTGTAGACCAATCAATAACTAGAGGATATGAGCTTGAAATGAAGGCAAAAGGACTGAGGCAAGAATGACTATTTATCGCAATTGTACAATTTTGGAATGGGTTTACCCAGAACGCCCTAGATTGAGGGATTCAAAACATAGATGCTTGGGATGTAAACAAATTGAAGTTTATTGTAAATCAGGTAAATAGGATTATGAGAGCTGATGGTACATAATGCCTTGGAATAGCCTGTGATGAAGTGGGCTTGGTGGTTTGGTGGATGATCACTATGTTCAATGGTTGTGCATTGTATCAGACTTTCCCGGAAGGCCCTGAATAAGGAGAAAGGTTACTTTTTGTGAGTTAGCTGATTCTGACTGCTTAATCTATATGTGATTGGGGAAATTCACCTCTTTCACCCTCCCCAAAAAAGTTGTGCTCTTGTGTATATTGTCCACCATGTAGTGAGTTTCTGGTTACAATATCTGTGTTTATTCACTTACTAAAAGAATAGATAATTTCTGGAGATCTAAAGGAGATAAGGAAATATCCCACTATTCACATGTGAACTGATGGAAGGATACGTTGATGTCCGTTTGACTTGCCTCAACTTTATTTCAAATGTGTGAAACTAATACATTACTGTTACCACTAGATGGTGCACATTACGACATTGGAATAACTACATTATACCCAAGTTCAGCAATTGAAGCTGATTTTAAAGTTGCACATATACACCAGCACTTGAAAAACTGACTGCTGCCAGTGTTGTTTGTGGGTCAGTACATAAAGACTTATTTACATTGGAGAGACAGAAATTGCTGTTTCAAACTGAGAATCCGTTTGCGGACTTTAGTATGTCCTCCCGACGTGAAAGGCTCTATACAAATGTAACTTGTTGTTCTTGTATTCCAGAGGCTAATTAGAAAGCCAAACATGGCAAATTTTGATACCAATAATATGAATTATTTTGTTTAACTGAAAACAATGAAGCACTTTAGAAAGGGCCAAGTTTTTAGAAGAAAAGTCTTCTTGCTGAAGTCTTATGACAGATTGGCCTCTTAATGTTGAACTAGTTATATGTATATACAGAATTAATCTTCTCCTCAAAAATACCTGGACGTTGGATCCTAAACACTTGGAACCAATGAGTTCCCTACTAAATCACAATGTTAGTTTTTTTTCTAAAAAAAAACTTGCCTTTGATAACCCTTTCTGTGAATGAGTGAATTGCAAAATATTCTAGCAGCTTACACTCAAAATACTCAAAATTTGAGAAAGCAAATTGAATCTAATAATAGTTGACCACACTGCAAGTATTCCACTATGAAGAGTGGGATGAGTGTTTTATTATAAAGCATTCCCTACCTTCAGGGAGAAGTCATCTGGCAATGATAGACTTTGGGTATCAACTGTAAACATTACAAACCATCTATTCCCTTAGGTCAATGTTGCAAGAATGACATAATTTTACACCAGCTACCTTTGCAATGTTAACCATTTCTGTTGCTTAGAGGTTTGTATGAAAGTATCTACAACTTTTTATGTATTTATGGTATAGCTTTCAGGGTAGTTTTTAGTTTCTCAAAAGGTTGCCTGTGTCCAAAACAGAATGCCTATTCCTATCTTCCATTCAAAAAACTGAGGTCAACTTTGTGGCTGCCAGTCACTGTGCTGTGTTGCTTTTCGTCATTAATTGCTGAGTTAGAAAATCTAACTACCTTTGTAATTCCAGCTATCCAAGGGTATTCCTGAGCAAGATCTGACAGCGTGCTCTGTTCTTATGCCTATCTATGGCTGATTGGTTCTTCATTCCGCATCTCAAATTCTTCCAGCTACTCCTGAGCTGACTTTCTTCTTAGGCTGCTTCCCACTCTTATTTGGCTTTCATCTGTAAACATCAGGATGCACTTTGAATCTGCATTGTGAAATTAGGATGGAAACGTCGCCATGAATTTACTGGTAGGGGTTTTCAGTTACTTTCTTGTAATGGGGGGGGAGAAATGAAAGTTTGTTTCAGATATTTCCAAGAAGGGTCACTTCTGTTTGTAAAATGAATTGTAGCTTCAATAAATAATAATAATAATCCTTGCATTTGATATAGCGCTTTTCACGTCGGGAGGACGTCCCAAAGCGCTTCACAGAACACACTGTAAAGTGAATTGACTGTATATTTGTGGGCAAACGAGGCAGCCAATTGCGCACAGCAATGTCCCACAAACAGTCGTAGATTGAAAATGACCAATTTATTATTAAAGCGAGTGCTCTAGCCACTGAGCTACAGGACTCCAATGTACTTGATTTGCCTTCAACATTATCTGAATGAAACAGGAAGTGGGTCTCACCCCACTTTCATCCATTGATGGATTAGTTCTGCAATTGCATATGAGTGTGTGTAACTGGGTTCTCTGTTAGAGAGCCATAAACAATGTTATTTCACAAGTCACAAGAGCCCTAAAAACAAAGTGTTTAGTAATTTAAAAAGCCATCATCCCTGTTGGCAGAAAACATTCCAATTTCCAAAAGCTTTCCGTCCAAGTGGTATGCTGATGGAGTGCATTTTTACTCCAGCACATTGTGGTATGATGCACCACAGGTTATAGTGAGTTCCTTTTGTGGTTATGCATTTAAGAAGTTTGATCTGTTGCAGTCATACTTCCTGTGTTTTCTTTTGTAGCAGAGAAGGAAAATTTTATTTATTTGTAAAGCATTGCAGCTAGGGAATTTTCATATGTTTGTTGCTTGTGGAATGATCCTGTAAACAATACTTGCTGACTGGAACACTTTCCTTTATTTAGTACAAACTGCAGAACTAAACATGACTTGGAATTCGAGATGTTGAAGCATCCATTAAGCTATTGAATGTCTTTGTTTGATGGTATCTCCAGGACAATTTCTTTACATAATCTGTGATTCCAGTAAGCAACATAATTACATTAGTTGTCCATGATTTCATCATATTACATTAATGGATGTACAAAAAGGCTTTGCATTCTGAACAAATTTAATGAACAAAATATACAACAATTGCATTTGTACTTTGAGATGAAATCCTTCTGAACCTGAATGTGGTGCTACATTTACATAGTATCATGGTTAGAAAAATTTCTGCGGTTAGCTCTATAATATCCCCCAGTAAACGTTTACGTTTTGCTAGTTTATCATAATAGAAAATGTTTTGAAGTGAAAAAATGTTCAGGAGTTGAAATTGTACCCTTAAATCAGAAGTATTTAAATAAAGCTACAATATTCAACAGATAGAAATTGTGTGACAACCAGAGAAGTAAATGTCCCTGGATTGCAAAACCAGGATCCCGTATCGTAATAGAGCTCCTGAAATCCCGAGATTGCAACCTCCAGCTGGGGGATGGGCAGTCAAAGGAGCAGAGCAGATAGTGCAAGAGAGAAACACTCAAGTATATTTACTGAGCTATCTGTATTGGAAAGCTCAATTAGTTTGTATCAGGATCAACTCTAGGACAAGTTGACGTATTTGATATCCAAGAAAGTGTGAGGCTCTCTGGTTGGTGCCTAAAGTGAGTTTGCTTAATTTCCAGCTGAATAATTGCCAGATTTGGGATGGTAAAAAGAACTCTTCAATAAATAAAATGTCAGAAATTGGTCAAATGTGAAAGCTGTTAAATAAATCTTGGAGGGAGGCAGTGAAGTTAAATGCATATACACTGTAACAATATGTCAGCCTACACAATACTGTTGTTTTGAGTAATTCAATAGTAAGGGCAAGGTCAATGGTTGAATATGTAATAATAGCTTTCTCTGAATATGACATTAACCAATTATGTTATCCAATGAACAAGGGACGTTCTCCCAACTTGAAAGGCGCTATACAAATGTATCTTGTTGTTGTATCTTATATTCCTAAATGACAAACTCAAATTATTTCTTTAGCACATTACTTGCCAAGCATTAGTTCTAATCAATTAATGAGCACAATAATAGTAATCATTGCATTTTATAATAGCCTTTCACACCAGGAGGATGGCTTACGTCTCGTCACAGGAATTACTGTTACGTGTTATCACTGTATTTTTTAGCAAACAGCAGCCAGTATGACAGAAATATCCTATAAACAGCCATGACCTGAATGACCAATTTTATCTGGGGTTTTTGGCTAGGACATTTTGAGAAAAACTTTTTTGAATAGTGCCCTAGAATCTTCAAAAGCCACCTCAACAGGCAACAGGACCTCTGTTTAAAGTCCTATTCTAAGAATGGCATCTCTTCATTAATGTGGAACTTTACAGGGAGCTGCCGATTGCAATAACAGTTGGGAAGGGCTTAGAAAAACAATTTTACACTGTGGGCACAAAAGTATGACAAGATATATTAATTGCAGGATCATTTGTTCAAATTTAGAGTTTGGATAGAATCCAATCAAATAATTTTATTAAATGTGTGTAGAGATAGAATTCAAATGTTCTATACTGAATATTTTATGAAAAATCAGCAGTACCAGTTGTTAAAATGATTAAAAATTATGTTCCTTTTAAAAATGGTGTTAACTGAAGTAGAGATAAATTCAATGTTTGCTACCTATTCAAACACGTTCTTGTATAACCATGCTGCAGATTGTGAAGCAAGCATTGAAATTGGTGGTCATTTACAAAGTTCTAATTTGCTTAGATGACATGGTGCGTGATTTCTTACAACACTTTTTGTTCAGGGAAATTTAGAGGAATTCAACAAATTTGTGTTTCAGAAATGATCGAACCAAGATCAAAAGGAGGAAAGTCTGGAGGTGACAACAAGATTGGTACAGGAAGGGGTACCTTGCGATTACGTTCTAAAGGACCTGCAACCGTTGAGGAATTGGTAAGAAACCTCAACAATTACTTTGACCATGTATAGCTGGCAATACAATAATGCAGGGTTTTAGTTAAATCATTTTAGTATAATTTCTGTAAAGCATAATCAAGCTTGATCAAAATACATAACAATGTATTCACCAGAAACCAGATACTTCTCCTCACTTTCCTGTTGCCGCTGGATACCTTTCTAGTTTGCTATTACTATGATACATATTACTCTATTGGCTTGGTTTAATAGTATTCTTTACAGATTTTAAGACTGCATTGTATGTATGGATTTCTATTAGTTGTGCTATAGTGTACACATCAGCTGATCTTATTCCATTTTTGTTATTAACAGCCAACAGAATTTGAAGAAAAGGCTATCAAAAAAGCTGATGATCTATTAGAAACCTATATGGGTATAAGGGACACAGAACTAGGTGAGTTTATTGGCATTTTCACAGCAAACTTAGTATTTGGTTTTATGTTATTCCAAATAGTCACGATACATTTCTTGTAGATCTACTTGTGATACCATGAGAGAAAGTTTTTTTTCTTTTTTTTGGCAGATTTTATTCTTGCATTTTCTGTCATTCGTGGCAGGAATTACTATTTGGCATAAGTAATATAGCCAATATTGTTTGAGCTCTACTCAGATAAAATCATTCCTTTTTTATATGATTTCATCGTCAATTAATATCAAGATTTGTAGCTGGTTCAACTTTGCTTATTGTTGTGGCATCTGGTTTGCCATGACCGCATTTGATCCTAATGAAGTGCTGGTATGCACTGCCAATTTATGAGTTGTAATTCCAGCAACAGAACTAAGTTTTGGGTGGGAGAAGAGGAAGTTGCACAAGAAGTGGATTATGTAACTCTTAAACATGTCCGTGAGGGTGATGGTGACCAGGTGCCCAGGAATAGTGGGAAATCGTGGAAATCGCTGGAATATAATTCATGCAAACATAGTACTTTTATAGAGAGCATGTATACTGCAGTAATATGATCATAGGTATTTCTCACTATTATTTTATTGTTTATCCAAATGAGTAATATTAGCACTGGGGAATGAGGTGCCTTTCCATTTCAGGCCCTAATGTCAGCATTGAGCATCCATATATATCTCATTTCAAGCTTGAGCAGCCTTATGTTGCCTTTTCCACATTTCTGCATTATAAAATATCTTCATCAACCACTCTGCCAGTTCTATTTCTCCACACTAAATATTCTCGACCATTCTAATTGGAATCACTGATATGGTGCGATTGTTTTCCTCCAGATCAAAGTTCTTGCACACTCTAAACCCAAATCACAAAATGGTCATCTGTCTAAATTTGTGCCCATGATTTCTGGAGATGAAATTACCTTACATTAATCCATTGCACAATTTGTTCCTTGGATTTTTTTTGTAATTCTGGTGAAACCAGAATCTGTACTAGTAGTCAAAAATAAGGTTATGTTTAAAGTTAATGAATAAATGCTGATAATGTTACATTTTATTTCACAGAAATTGAATGTTTATACTTTCAGTAGTTTACCATCATGCATTTGCCTCAGTTTATTACAAGCAATATAAATGTGATGTCTTTGTATTATAGTTTGGCCTCCCTCTTATGTTTAAATTGAATTCCTTGAATGGAATATTCTTTTTAAGAATCTTATCAAGGACTAAAATGAAATCTTTCTAAATGATGGAAGCTGTCAAAGTATAAACATTTGTGTTTTAATTCAATAATTCATTCCGAGTGTTACTCAATCTGAATGTGTTAAGGGAAATCAATACAGTAAGGTGAAATGAAAATCCTTTGACGCAGGTTAACTTTTTTTTCATTTATCAGCTGCAACAATGGTCGAAGTTGGAAAAGATAAGAAAAATCCTGATGAATTTGCGGTGGCACTTGATGAGGCTCTTGGAGACTTCGCGTTCCCAGATGAATTTGTTTTTGATCTTTGGGGAGCAATAGGAGATGCAAAGAAGGGCAGATTTTAGTGTAACATTTCATTGTAACTAAACAGTGTGTGAAATTTTTCATTCATTGCTTTCTATTGGACCAATAAATTTGTAGCCTGAAGACTGAAGAAATACAGTTGAGATTTAAGCATTTGACTCTTGTGACTCCTACCGATTCCTTGCTGGATATATACCCTTGCACCATGACCACTTTTTTCAATGACTAAGCCTGCACCTGTGAGAACAGTAATCCTAAGTGTAAATGCACAATTCATTCTACTTGCATAAATGATTTCTTTGGACCAAACGTTTATGAAAAGTATTTATGTACTTCATTATTCCAGTTGTAATATGTTGACTTGTATAAATTAAGCATAGAAGTCCTTTTGTAACCAAAAATGTTTTTTTTAATTACAAGTTGGTGATTTAAGCTTTAAATTTATGTATCTATAGTGTGCCTATGATTTTTTAAATGGTTTTGTAATTTTTTTAATCTTTGCATGAATATAATGGTGAACATGTTGCGTAGATTAAGCTTGACTTTTTTTAGAAAAACAACTATATAAACTTTGAACTGAAGTTATTCAGTTTTGTTAATTTATCCCTAAATTCACAAAATCTGCTGCCTTATTCTATATACATACAAGTTTAATGTGATTGCTTGGATTGCTATAGCAAGTCTTAATTGTATAAGTATATTTCTTGTTCCTTCCCACCAGCACTCAGGCTCAGATGCTTTTTAACTATTGTGAAACATAAAGAAACCAGCTGTTTCTTAAACTATTTGAAACTTTGGAACAGCTGCTTTAATTGAACTCGTTCTTCCCAGATAGCTTGAAACAAAGATTTTTGTTTAGACATAAAATACACTAAATATTAATGGATATATCATTTCTTGGATGTCTATAATCTTTAACATTTAGTTTTATTTATTTGAACTATTTGTATCTTTTGTCAATATTATCTATTCAAGATTTAAATGGAGTTCATCTGTGTATCCATGTATCATTACTATATACAAATGCATTTTTATCAGAAGTATCTGTCTTTTATAAAACAAAATGTTTGCTTTTAAATTCCACCAATTTTCTTCTGCACTTTGGATAATAGGGGAAACATAAGTGAATGTAACTTATTTAATACTTACAAATGGTATCATGTGATGAGAATGTCTAGACATTATGGCCATAATTATATTTTTAAATGCCACTTTGATTTTCAATGACTACTTTGCCTAAAGCAATGCATTTTATGTGTGGACTACTGAAATAATATTTTATGATAGATCAGGAAAAATGTAATTATGTCTGCAAATATTTTTTTCCCAATAAAGTTGAGAAATGTTGATGTATTTCAACAGATTTATTCAATTCATTTATGTTGTTTCTAATTATTTGGACACATTTTCCATTATAACTAATTGCTTGACCCTGCTAGAAGGGTCAAAATATATATTTTTTAAATGGTTGAAATTTTTGAAGCTGAAATATTGCTTTGCAGTGACTGCTGCCTTTCTAATCTTGCAGCTTTTTCTTTAAAGCCTTTAGAATATGCAATTGCTGCACTGAGTGACAGACACAGCAAAAATTCAGGTGGAAGGAAATATGGCATGTAGTATGATATTGTATAAAGATTTCTGGTGGGTATATTTATAGAAGGAATGGGGGTGCTGGAGAGAAGAAGGGTCCAGCAGATTACTGGAAAATGTCATGTCACATTCAACCCTTGGCTGGCTTCAAATTTGAATGCTTTATATAAGATTTAAAACATTTTGTAGGAACGGATTCCTCAGTGGCTGTGGGCTGCTATAATTTCACTGAACCTGGCTTTTGTTTTCCCACCTGAACTATGCTCGAACTTCCCCCAGCACTGTTCACACCTGGACTGCTTTCCTCCACAAACCATACCCCACAAACTATTTGTTGTAGCGTGCCAGAGTAATGCAAAACCTTTTAACTGCAGAAACTGCAAATATTCCAACACTCAGATCAATATTACAGCATACTCCTAATGTGTTTATGTATTGAGAAACTTGCTGAGTCCATTCATTTCTAATTGTTTGAATATTTCCAGTATGCTTATTGATTTGAGTTTTAGAATAAATTGTATTGCACAACAATGAGCAATCCAGTTATTTAATAAAAAATCACTACTCTGTATGGTGGAACACAATCTGTAAATCACATGTATTATTGTCAATAATTTGCATTTGATATAGCGCCATATCACGTCTGAGATGCTTCAAAGCACCTCACAGAATATACTTTAAGTGAATTGACTAGATTTGCAGGTGAACCAATTGCGCACAGCAGTGTCCCCACAAACAGTCGTGCATTGCATCACCAATTTTTTTTAAGGACTCATTACCCCCGGAAAAGCGATCTGCCAATCGACTAACAACTGGGTTCCTACTTACTGCTGGTAGACAGGCGTGTGGACTAAGGAAACTTGCCCAACATTTTGTCCTTTCGGGAATCAAGCCCAGGTCTTGGTTAGAGCGAGTGCTCTAACCACTGAGCTACAGAACTCTACTTGTGTTATGAAGCTAATCTTGGAAATACTGAAGTACTATTTTGAAAATGACCAATTATGAAAGTCAGAATTAAACGATATTTTCCACACGCAGTCAGCTTCATTTCCATTCATACTTAACTATTTAAAAGCCAAGTTTCTTCCATCCCTCCATCCCAACACGTTAACTTCTTCAGCAGTATTGGAAGCACGAATAGCAATATAGTAGTTCTTGCTAAGAATTTGAAGTTAAACATGATTTCTAATCGTTGCAAATGTAAAAAATCAATGTTCTGACTTGCAGTTTTTCTAACAAGTGTTAATTTCTTCTGCTTGGCTTTTTTCAATCGGCCCATTTTAAAAATACATTTGATCTTTCAAGTAGATAAATGTTTCAACTTGCATTTCATCTTTAAGAATAGTCAGTATTAAATATAACGGTGGAAAAAAGTAGGCATTCTGTGTTCATTATTCATGTTCACTTTTTGGAAGTCTGTACTGTATTTAAAGAAATAAGAATTTTAAAAACAAAAATTGTGAACGCTGCCAAACCAGATTTGCACAAAAATCTCATGACGCTTAAAGCAAGCATAATGTGTAAATAATTCTTATGCACAAACTATTATGTTCTATTATCTTATGTTCAAAGTACAAAGTATTCAAAAGTGACGTTCATGGCTTAACATTGCAGAGTTGAAATAGTAATGCAGGAAATAAGGTAGAATTGCAACATAGAAAGGTTACTTTTCTGGCACAGAATGTTTTTATGATGTGCGTAGAGATGGTTGTGGCTGAATTATATTTTAGATGTTATTCTGAAAAAAAATGGTTTCCTGCTGGAAAATTTCATTCGACAGCAAGACAGTTTGAAATGAAACAAAACTCGTCAGAATGTCAGATGATAGCTAAGTTATGTGATGATTCTCTTCACCCACATTATTGAGTATTTTCTGTGTTCGTTTTGTCATTGCATTCATTTTGAACTTATTTACTCTACCCGAAGCAAGGTTAGTTCCAGAGATCGTTTCCTCTGAGCGGTGACAACATTTATTTGCAAACCACATGTTTTTAAGTCATTTTGTGCTGAAACCCACTTAAGTTTATGAACTGACTTATTATAAATCCTGTCTGATTGCTCCTGTAGAAGGTTGCGAGCTGTTACTAATCAAAATAGAATGCTTTTAATTGTGCAATAAGAAAGAAAGAGGATTTCTCCTCACTGGTGAGTCAGTAACACAAAAGCATAAATTAAGCAATATTGCGAGATTTCTGTTTACAGAGTTCTTTACCAGAAATATCTTGCAGCTGTGTTAGCAGTGTTTAAAAGGGAATGGATTAAATGCTTGAAGAAATATATAGCCAAGTACAGTGAAAGAGCAGGGACTGGCATTCAAGTAATTAGCTTAACAGCTTACACGATGGGTTGAAATTGCTGTGGTTTTATGAAATTATTTCAGTTTAGCTAGTTATACATGGCGTGAATATCTAATTCAATGAAAAATAGCTCTCAACAGCTCATAATCTATTAATGGATTATTGAGGATTTATAGTCTTTCAGGGATGTTGGATTCTGTTGCCTTCTCAAGCTTTTGAAATACCTTCCTACATACATTTATCAAGAGAATATACATTTGATTCTTTATGAAAAATAATGTTTCAATATTTATTTTGGGTGCTTTGCTATATTTCAATTGTTGATTTGGACATATTTATACATTTTGCCAATTTTATGTTGGAAAACATTTGGACAGCGTAAAATGAGAAAGTCACAGAGATTTCAGCACGAAAGGAAGCCATTTGGCTCATTTTGCTTGTCTTCTTATACTCTCAAATTTAAATCCTTTTTTCTTCATTAAATAATGAAAAAGATGAAACAAGACCAAGATATACAGTATATGAGTTACAGAAAGTGGCAAACATCATATTTCCTGCATATGCTGTGTATGATTATGTGGTACATCAAAGATATAATTTTCTTTCATTTTCTCTGGAACAAATATTACTCTTATGAACAAAAAGTATCAAATAGACCTACGGAACATTTTCTCTATATTAGACTCTTATGGCTCTGTTAGAGGCACACACAGTTGTATAGCATTTTACAATTGTTGTGTTTGCTTCAAAACATTGAGATGACTCTCCAACTGTGATATACATATGGAACAAATCAAAAGGAATTATTTTGAAAGGCCAAGGTCCATGACTAAAATTGAGAATTGTGCCATGTGCCCATTGGCAATGCTTCTCATATTCCAGTGAAACAAAAATCTCCTTCTGGGAGTTTGCTATTTTAAATGCCATAAAAAAAGATTGCATTGCCAAAAAGTGTCAAAAGCAATCATGGATCAGAGCCTTCCAATTCTGATGTTCTACTATCCTATTGTCTGCCTAATACTGGACTGTAAAGTACCAACCCTCACTCAGTTTTTACAGGAAGGATATATTGACATGAGAGTGTACAGGGGATGTTCAAGTGCATGGTACCAGGGATTTCAGAGAGGCAACTGCAATGCTGATAAGGGTGAAGATGTTTCCTCTGCAGCTGAAGTGGCCAAAGGGCAATTTGGTTTGTAATTATTAGGAAAAAACAGTGAATTACTTTTTTCTCTGATGGTTTCTGAATTCTGATACAACCTTAAAATTAGGAGAAAAACACTCATGGCCGAGATGAGGGAAAAAAATCATCTGGCAGGGAATAATATGAATCGGGAATCTGCTGCTACCAGAAAGAAAGCCCTAGATTATAAATCTGAGATGTGAGAGTGAGATGGATAGATGCTTTAAGGAGTAAACAAATGAAGGGATCTGTTGGGGATGTGAGATTATGGGTTGTAATTCATGGGTTATGGATTGTGTAGTCTATGGTGGAGCAGACTCAATGAACTGAATGATCTTCTCTTCTTTATTTCCTGTGTTCCTTTACAGTCAGGTGGACTATATGGTGAAGGTGACTTATGTTTACTGAGACCAAAGGCAATCTTCTCATGTGAACAGTTAATTGACTTGGATGATTCTTTTAAAGAGGAAACAAATTAATTATGTGTAATATCTAAAGGTAGGTCTGAGATGACTGAACTCTTTCAATTTTTGTATGAGAGGGTTGCAACCACTATGTTTGATTATCCTTGGATTTCCTGATTCCTGCAAAGCCGTTTTATATTTTCATGGTTGGCTTCAGTAATCAGAATCAAACTTTGTTCAAGCAAACACACAAGATAGTTTAATGAAAGTCAACTTTTATAAATAATCCAGAAATGCAAATTAAAATACTATTAACCACAACAGACCTTCATTATAAAGATTTTCCATAGCTGTAAATGTGAACAGTCTTAACCCACAGGTTTGTCAAATGAAGTATTCTTTTACGAGCAATTAATTGTTTGATTACTTTGAAGTGTCTGTCATATTCTAATTGTTCTAAATGTTTCATGATTAGGGTGATTTTTCAAACAGTAAACAAAATGTGGATCAATCTGCTGTTTATCCTTCTCAATTTGCAATTCATTTCACAGCATATGCACTACCAACTTTTTTTTGAAATATAATGAACCATTATTTTACCCTATTGACACTGGTTACATGTTTTGAATTAGAACTAGAACTGGGGGCTTCCAGCTCAGATGAGGAAATGGTAAGCAAACAGTTTAGATTTCATTTTACACAGAGTACAGAATACTGTATGTGAAATATTCAAGGAGGTTGTGGAGGCAGATTTTGATTGCAAAATCAAAAGTGAATTTGACCGCGATTTGGAAAAGAATTCAATAAAGAGATGAAGTGGTGTAGGATTTTTATTCATTAATTTTTTCTTTGGGCCAGGTCAAATGAAATGCGATGTTGTTTTCCAGGAACGTA